GAATGGTTGGGGGAGTTCTTACTTTAGACAAATTATAGTTCTCTGTGTTTACTTGTAATAGTCGACTCGCTATCTGCTGTTGTATCGCTATCAGGCATTGTGAACATATAGTTATTGCTTTATTAATTCTGATATTTTACAAATATAGTCGAGTCCCGATCATCCAAATTTTTGGTTTAACCGAGCTATCGAATATTTCCAGGATTTTTTTTTGTTCTAGTTTATTTTTACAACTACTGCTGGAAAAAAAAAATTCAAAATTTTATCTTCCAAACATTCAGGAAAACAAGCTGACGGACAACACAAGATTACCGATGAAATGAAATGATCGTTAATAATGAAAATGAATCTAGCAAAGATGATGAAGACAGTGACGATAAAAATCAACATTTAAAAATCTCTCATAGAGATGGACTAAAAGCTATTGAATATATAAAACAACAAGAGGCAACCCCATAATTCCTGTTATCCCTAAAAAAATAGCGAAACATCACTGCAGAAAAGCGCTAAAGTAATGTAAAACAAAAAACGATTAAGGATTTTTTAAAAGTAAAAACTTCTTGTTTCTCGTAAAGTATGCTCTCTAAGTGTTTTTAAGTAAGCTTTTTAATGATAATATGAAATGAATGTGGTGTACTCGTATAAAGTTTATATCTGTTAAATATATTAGATTTACACCTACTCTTTATTTTTTCTTTTTTATACTCTTTGCTTTATGTGAGTTTTTCTGTTATACGAGTCTGTCGTGGTCCACATTAACTCGGATAATCGGGACTCAACTGTACACGGTTTTATTGTGTTTTTAGTAAGTATATAATTTTCTAAAAATACTATTTGATATTTGTTTTTTTCTCCATCATATCAAATTGTAAGAGAAGAAAATTAAATTAAGAAAAGAGAAGAGTGAGTTCATTTAGAGTGAGATTATTTTTTTTACTTCTCTGGAAGATAAAATGTAGAATTTATTTTGCAATACAGTATTGACTACTTTGCAAATGTAAATAAAAAAAACTAAACCCAGTGACACGACAGCCCATAGAGGGCCAAGGCCTACTATGCCCATCTAAGTTTTCTTGACCTTGGGCTCTGGGGTGCAAGAGTAGATGCTTCGCTCAGGAGGTCAGCCGAAAGCGGAACCCCCAGTGTTTAGTTCCCAAGCATGTTTGGTACTAATTTATCGACACACTGAAGGGATGAAAGGCTGAGTCAACCTTGCCTGGACCCGAGGATCGAACCCAGGACCTATGGCAAGGGAGCGCCAAGCGCTACCATTTAGCCACCGGGCGTCAAATGTAAATAAATACTATTTGCATAAAGAACAGAAAGACTTCAATTTAGAAAGTGAATATCGACAAGAAGTACAAGAAAAATACTTTATTTGAAACAGTATTTAAATATAGAGCAGAAGATCTACATAATGCAATTCTATAAACTACACTATCTTTGCGGGAGTAAACAATGAAATTTGTAGTCTAGAAATCTGTACAACTGAACAAGAATTAACAAAAATAATGTATCAGCTTTTTACATTATTTGTTGAATTATTTGCTAAGTGGTGATTAAAATTTCAAAAGCTAATCAGAGCAAAATTAATAAAATTGTTTGTTCTAAAGCTGCAGAAAATTTAAACTTCTTTCTGTAAATAATAAATTCTTAAATATTTGTATCTAAAAATGATTTTAAAACATTTGAAGATTGGTCTGTTCCATGCAAATATATCCATTTTTATTAGATAAGATTAAAGATAATTAAAATGATCTATATAACGCAAAATTCATTAAAATGCCCAGGTTTCAAGGTTTGCATTTTCTACTGTATATAGTTGTTCATTAATAAATTATTAAATATTAATGTAATAATAAGTTATAAGCCATATATGAATACAAAAATATTTTATACTGTAAGTTTTTATTTTAATAAATGACAATGTTTTTTTTTTTTTTTTTTGTATTGTACTATCTATATAATGCAATGAAGTGATAAAAGTGTAAAATTTTACAAAAGTCGCATTTATAGAAATAGTAACTTATGGGACATCCTTTACCACTGCCTCATTTAAATGTGACCTTTCATAGTAAAAAGGTTCCCACCACTTGGTCAAATAATTGAATAAAGTGCCACTTATTTCTCAAATGAAACAAGAAGTGTGGAAGTAACGCAATTGCATGTTTTAAAATGATTTGTGAAAACACAATCATTCTTATTAAGTATGAACCATATGTGGGAGATATTTCCATAATGGTATCTGCTCTAGCCAACTATACTGTCTGCTTCAGGTATTTGGAATAAGTTAAAATTAAAAGATACTTATCCATTTCGCCAGGACAAGTAAATGCAATGTGAGGGAGGGTAGCCAAATCTTTCAACAAAAATAAGTACCTTTTAAGCACTCAAAGAATATTTACACTATATACATTAATAAAATGCAAAATAATTTTCAAAGACTTTACATGATAAAATAACTAGTTTCTGACAAAGAACTCTTTGCTTGATTATATTAGCCATTATAAAGTGATTAAGAGATTTTTCCGTTCCATATCTTTTCATACTCTATGGACCGACTGTGTGCCAAAATGCATAGTGAAAACGTGGAATAGAACAATGTGAAAACCACTTTTTTGCATAATATGTGGCGAGAATCGACATTGTTAAAAAAAAAATCTCATTTTCGAAAAGAAGCAAATTGAAGCACTTTTTAAAAGCACTACACGCCATGGTGTTCTTCCTGAGCATTTTTGGAAAGCTGGTCCGCTCTGCTTGCCCTTTGATCAGAAAAAATGCGCTCTCTTTGTAAAAATAAGCAGTCATCTTATAAGAACACTGCCTTTTTATTCATATAATATTTTGAAAAAATTAATTCACTGTTTAAATAATTACACAATGGTAAAATTATGTGTCTTCTTAAGTTTAATTCTAATTACTATCACAAATATTTTCTTTGTCCTATAGACTTATTCTCAACTGGTTAAATTTTTATAGCTATCTTTTTTCGAAGGAGGATATTAATAAATTTTTTAAGTGGTTTTAAAATGATTTCTTAAATAAATACCTTTTCTTTTTTTTAATGCACCTTTAAATGTTCTTTTTCTTATAATTTTCAGTTTAAATTATTGAAAAAAGCTTTCAAGTTATTTATAATTTTTTGTTAGTTTACCTTTTTAGAAAAAAAAATATGTACAGAGATAGCCTATTTTAACATGTCTTTAATTATTTTTATAAACATCATTTTTTTCTCTTATTTTGATAATGAGGGAGATTTACTTTTTGAAATGAACACATAAAATAATATTAGAGGGAAATTTAAAAATTGTTGAGGGTAAAATTCAGTTATTACATAATATCACACATTTTAATAAATTTTCACAGTGTTAAATGAGTACCCCTTTCAGAAAGGAAGCGAACTGCCTTTTTTGTTATTTTGAAGGGGAACTCCATAAATGCACAGATTAATTTGTACTTAAATTTTATTCATTAAAATAGGAAAACGAGGAGTGGATCATAGAATAGCCCACCCAGTGGAGATTTTTTAAATTCTCTCCAAGCAAGTTTTTGAAATCTCGTCAAGCTAGGTCTCTGGAAGATATGTTGGGGGAGATTATTTTGAACGTCCGATCACACCACAAAATTCTTGAACCTGATTGGTTATTTGATATGTTTACCTGTGCGAAAGTTGGACTTCATTAGAAAAGAGATTATTTTTTCGCCATTTATGTTTCTGATCTATTGCGATTAGATTCGTTTTCATTATTTAATTTTTTAACCAGTTATGTCAATTATTACTGCTATTATTATTTTAAAATGAGCCATCAGAGTAAAGGTAGGTTACTTTTTATTCTATTAAAAAAATATTTTAATAAATATGCAGCTATTAAAATTTTTTTTAATAATCAAAAAGCAACGTTAATCCCAGTAATAATCGCTAACTTGGCGAGATTTAAAAAAGTCACCAAGAGGTGGGCTTAGTCTACGATTTTACGGAAAATAAGAAATAAAAAATAGTTGAATTTACTGTTTTTTCATTTGCAATTTTATTGCTTGCACCAACGAAATGGATAAGTACTAATAAAAATATAGAGTAGCTTGCCCATTAATGGCCATGAGTTTTACTTGAGTTTTTTCAATTCTTTTAGTTTCTAGTATGTCAATACTAGAAAAAATTGGCAGCCATCTTAGCACAAGTTCGAAAACAAAAAATCTTTTTCAGTGCTGTTTTATCATATGATCTCGAAAGGATTGTCTACTAAAGAAACCTTTATCACAGACTTTACATAAATATTGTTTTGAAGCAGAGTGACGACTTAGATGATCTTTCAAAGAACTTCTCTGAGAAAAACCTCGCTGACAATATTCACAAACGTAAGGTTTTTCACCTGTGTGAAGTAACAGGTGCTTACTACGATTACTCTTAGAACCAAATCTTTTATTGCAACATTCACACTCATACGGCTTATCCTCAGAGTGCGTTATTAAATGATCCTCCAACAAGGCAATTCGTTTATTGCAAAAATCACAATACCCTTCTTTAATGTGAGTTAGTAAATGCTTTTCAAGTAAAGCAACCCTTTTGTTGCATCGTTCACAATCACGTTTAATGTGTGTTAAAAAGTGATTTTTTAGTGAAGTGGTAGTACAAAATTCGTTGCTGCACAATTTACACGAGCGACCCTTTTGACACTCATTGTTTGTAGAGTTAATTTGACGGGAAAAGGAAGTGTCAGACATTGTTATATTATCACTAACACTGTTTTGTTACAATCGCTTATTATAATATCTTCATGAAATATATTTCAGACCAAAATACTTCTTTAAAGTTGCTGTGTTGTTGGGAGATGATCACGAAAATTGAAAATCATTGCATGAAGTAAGACTTTGCTTTTAGCTTTAACTGTGTGTTATAATTGCATCAATTATGTCCTTTACTTGAGACTATAAACTGTTGGTTGCGAATGTCTATAGTTGACTTTTTAATATAAAGAAATAGGTAGTCATAAACGTTTCAAAGAAGCTCATCTAAATATAGATGAATAAATATTAATTAAATTATTATACCTGTAATTTATCTATTGATAAAAATATCAACTAATTTAAGAGTATTTACTTGTTTAGGAATATTTGCTTTTCTAAAGTTTTCTTTTTTAAAGTTGAATTGTAAGAATAAATCATTCGCGTGACATTTAAAGATGATTATGAATATTATTTACATCATCAACTTCGCTTGGTGTGGTCAATATGAAATTATAAATTAGCTATTTTACGGTTTATTTCTGTGAGTTTTTTTCCAGGTAATTAAATGAAAAATAATGGAAAACATCATTTAATCTCCATCTTATTTTGCATGATGATTCAGCAAACTATATTCTATTTTAGTTAATACAAGATTTATGGCAAACTGAAATAAAACAGACTATTTATTTTTTTAAATGTTTCTTTTGTTTAAAAAAATCAATGAAAATTTTTGATTTACAATAAACATTAAAATATTACATGCAATTTAATAGCGACTTGATGTATAGTATATTCTTAAAGACTGTTGTGCTCTATCTGAATTCAATAATCTTGTTTTAAACTATAATTATAAGAGGGATATTATAAGATTTCTCTTAATCCACCTCGTAATGAAGGTTTTTTATTTTCAAAATACTTATTTGCAGATTTTTAATTATTCTCACGGGAATCGGTTTTTCATTTTTTAAATTATTTGGGGAATATATATTAAAAACTGTTTACTCAATTTAGCTTGGAATCTTCAAATTAAGTGAGGAAAATACATGAATTAATATTAAATTTTTCTTATTATCAAAATTGTTAATTTTTTCTCAATTTTAGAGTACAATTGCATATATACAAGATTTTGTTTACTTTTTAGACTTCTTTCTTTAGAATGGGATTTGCAACTGATCTCCAGGGTAAAACCTCTCATGAAGCTCTCATGTCTTTACAAGATGCAGAACTTAGACTTCTGGAGAATATGAAACGCTGCATGTCACTGAGGGTGAAGTGTGATCGAGAGTACGCAATCGCCCTCAATTCAGTCTGCATACAAACTCTTAAAATTGATCAAACGGAGTTGAAAGGAAGCATGGTTGCTAGGGTAACAACATTATTTTATTTTAAGTTGAAATTGAAGCCTAGTTCTGAAGTTGCTAAATTAAAACAGAATTGTAAATTAAGCAAGGTTAAGCTTTTATGTATTATTATTATATTCTTACAATCCTAAACATTATCTGTTTTCTATGCATTCTTATACAGTATAGGTATTGTCGTGTGTTCTTGATCCCTGATAAATTTTACACCAAAGTAGTTCCATGGTATGTGCCTTTAACTTAAATTATCCAGTCAAGTTATTTAGCAATTATTTTGTGATTTTCCTGCCCCTCCCATCCAACAGAACTATCTTCTTTTCTCATATCTGTTCTTTCTACTCACAGGAAGAAACAAATTTTTTTCTCCCTCCTTCCCACCTATTCACCTTCAAGTAGGAGTGTTCAAAGGGATTAATGTTTTTATTTACTTATTTCTTTTCTTCTCAAAGTTTTGAGTAATCATTCTCCTTTTTCAAAAAGGTTTTCGGCTGATTAGATATTATTCTAATAATAATAAGGTTATTGAAGAAAAAATAATGTTATTTTTTTGTGTAAGGCTTGTTTTGACTTCTGTTTACATTGAGGGTCTATTATGTGAAAATATCTATTATTGAACTTATGGAAATGCCACTTATTCCATGTACGGGACTTTCTGCTACGCACACTCATATATATATATTTAAATAATGTGCACATAGTCTTTTTGTATAGTAAAATATACTATACGAAAAGAAATAAGAAATATTTTTTCTGAACTCAACTGTATTGTATTCATTTAAGTTGTCAGAACTGTAAGAAATCTCAATAACAAATTATCAAAGTTAAAAAACAGTTTTTTTTTTTTTGACACTCTCCTCTGCAAAAGAGTCAGTATATCAATCAAAATTGAAACCGTATAATTTCAGCCTCAAATCACTCATATTCAATTCATTCTATTTTTTTTACCAAAAAGAGTTGAAAAAGCTTGTTTACATTGTCCAGCTTGATTCTTGACTTGTCCATAGTTAAGTACCCTTTACGGGCCATTGCCTGTGGGTTGTAAACCACTAGACTATAGGAGATTTCAAAAACCTCCAAAATCCAAACAATTACTTTCAACTTTTGACAAAAACTCAAGTTCGAATTAAAGGAAAAGATATGAATATTTGTGTGTGCTAATATTATTACAAATAAGAAATAGAATAAAACAGATTTTAAAAACCATGTAGATATTTATAGACATAACTGCTAAAATGTGTTAGAATAAACCAAGTGAATTTATGATGAAGTCGTTACAAATTGAGCTTGTCAAAAAAGGAGATTACTCGAAAGATATAGTATAATGCTACTGTACTATTAAAGACATCAGGATTTTAAGAAATGTGTAGTCAGAAAAATGTTTGATGAAATCACCTGAATTTGACATATCACTCAGTAAGGCTCTGGTTTGACACATATGATGACAGCTGGATTATTGGATTGATTAAGCTAGGAAATAAGAAAAAAAGGCCTCACATGCCAAGGGTAAAAAGTTCTTATTAATCAAGATAGAATGCCGTCGTAAGTCAATCAAAACGATGGTTAAATTGAATGAATTACATTTTAAACTGCTTCTCCATCATTTGTGTCCTCCAAATTTGGCTCCAGCGACTACTCACAGACTTCAGAAATATTATCTTAAAGAGAAATTCTGCTCAAATGAAAAAGTTATCGCTAAAACTGAAGCCTATTTTGAGAGGAAAGACAAATTGTTCTACAAAAAAGTGATAAGAAAGTTAGAGGTGTGTTGGAAGGAATGTATGAAGGAGAGAATCTTGAGGAACAGAGTCAAATTTCTAGAAATAAAATTGTTTTTCTTAGGTTGACTGGAGACTTATTAAGCAATTTGTTATCATAGTCAAAATGCCGTGTAAAAAAGTAATTGTTCAAAGCAGGTATTCAAAATTTACGTTTTGTTATAAAGTGTATTAAAATCATCCTGATTTAAAAAACTATGAGGAAATCCATAGTAATAATGGGTGCAAAAACAATTGAAAAACATGAATTTATGAAGAAATTGAATATTTCAAAAGGGGATTATTTAAATTTGTGATTCAAAATTCGGGTTTTGTAATAATATTCTCTTAATATCAAGATTTTAAAAGTGTCACGTAACTCGACAAAAACTTTCTGACGAGATGACAGAAATTTCTGTTTAATTCATTGTGAATCCAAAGCATAAAAATTTTTAGTCAATTGTGGGACAACGCTCCAAATAGTTGTTTTTTTTTAATTAAATCCTTTGTATAACTCATGGACCCCTTTTATTTATAGGCATGGAGTGTAATAGCTGAAGAGACAGAAGCCATGGGACGTTTAGTGAAACAGAATGCTGATTATCTGGCCTCCCGCACAATCGATGAAATGAATGCTCTTATATTAGAGAAACGAGCGTTACGAAAGCTGTACATGGATGAGCACAATAGAATTCATGGGGAGCTGCTACGGGTATGTTTTTATTTCAGAAAACTCACTTACTATTTATGTATATATTTTTTGCTCTTAAATGCGGTTAACATGGTTCAAATCATGATTAAAATTTCTTTTTAGATGTTTGGAATTTTTTTAAAAAAAATCATTGATTGAAACCTATTGTTTAAAAATGGGATTTGTTTGAAAAATCAAACTGATTTTTGGTTAAAAAAATTATTAATTTAAATCCTGAATATTTTTTATGAAATGTAAGAAATAGATACATTCTAAAGGGTATTTGATTTTATTGTTAATGATGGTATTTTACTAAAGAATTATGAAAAGGATGTAAATTATTGTACTTCAAAATAGACTAGAAAAAAAAGGAGATTAAGCATAAATATGAGTAGCATGAAACTTATAAAATGTAATCTTCCTTTGAATGTATGTAGAATAATTTTCTGTTAATAAGCATATTTTAATGACAGGCCTGCCAGCTACTATGCTTTTTACAAATTACCAAAGTTTTCAAATTTTTGGTAATTTTGCCAACATTTTAAAAGCCTCTCCACGAAAAATCTTGAAAAAGTGGCATATGAACTTTTGAATCATTTGTATATAGTGGTGCGCAAAATAAGTTTAAATGAATAAAAATAAAACATTTAAACATAAACATAGCTACCACTAGAAATTTTTTTTACATCAAGGGTAGAAAGTTGGCAGTCCTGCAATTATACCCATTTAATTTTATGTTTATGTAAATACAGTGCTTTTAAAACTTATTAAGTTAGTGTATATCAATCATGGGGAAAGATTTATTCTACCAAGAGTAAATATATATATATTTCAGTACTGTTGCACCATTAAACCAATTACACCTCATAAGATATGAAATTGATAAATTATTTCACAATATGATATTCCTGCGACATCCATAATCATCACATTGCAAGATGAGCTTGAGAAAAGAAAAAAAACTATTATTTTATTTATTTGGTAATTTGTTTTTAATTACTGAATAATTTGAACCATTTTAGTAGAAAATATGAAGTATTTGATCTATAATTTTGTTTTTAAATTTTAAGTATTAATACATTTTGTAAAATGCTTTTGTCAGTAAACTTTAAAAAATATTAGATTTAAATCACATAAATCTGATTTAAAAAAATTTTTTTTCAAAAAAAGAAACTCATGATTTTTGACAACCCTGCTTTTTAAAAAATTATTACAAATTGCATTATGTTTTCAGTTACAAGATGCTGTTAATAAAACCCGAAATCTGTATGAAAAATACTTAGAGCTGTGGAGGGTTTCCAAAGCTAAATATGAAGACCAATATGTGAAAGGTATTTTTTTCTGTTTAATATATTCAGAATTTTGTTATCTTGTCTTTTTTCCATGCATTTACTACAGGGATGATTGTATTCCTGATTTTTTGTATCATCCTTCCTGCAGACCTAGAAAGCATGTGATTTTTATGTGGAATTCCGCAAATCTCAAGACCATTGATTCACGGACTTCCATGAATCAAAACCAATAATCAGTCAAAACTTTCACCACATTCTAAAATTTAAAATAAAAATTATGTTCTACAATGTTGCTTTGAAACCTTCGCTAAATCGCCTTACGAGACGTTTCTTACACGGGACTCTTCCGCAATTTTTAATTTTTTTGCTCATTTTTGTGTTATTGCATACTTTAAAAGATAATGTATTTTAAAAAAAAGAGGTTGAAAAAAATTTATTTCTAGATTCCCTTATGTCTTTAAATATGTATGAAAACCTATATCATTAAGCTTCAAACATCAAATCAATATTGAAAAACTAATTAATATTATAATATATTATTTTAAGAATTTTTCATATATTATTTTTATGATCTAATTTCGTGCCTATTTATGATCTAATTAATTACAACGTGAGTTTTATTTAAATTTACAAATTTTTTTTAATAATTTAAGGAATTTTTTTTTTAGTGACTGACTTTTTTTCATCTTGAATAATTCTGATTAATAACTTTTGCTCGTCATCTTTTCATTATTATTCTTTTGATATTTTGCCTAATTCAGCTTTTTCACTTAATCACAATAATTCAAAGCTGAATAGAGTTTAAAAATTTAAAAAATTCTTAAACTTTAACATATTTATTTTTAAATTGTTTTGTTTTGAATATTTATTAGTTTTTATATAAATACAGCATGAAGGTGAAAGCTAGGTACAGTTGTTTTTATTAAACCCAAAAAACTAAACTTCGGCAATGAAAATTAGTTTGTACTGTACACTTTGCTCAAGGAATTCTTATTAGTTTGAATGATAAATGTTTTAATAATTAAGAGTAGTGAAATGTTTTTCAAACCTTAATAAAATATTTTAGCTCCTCAGTTTTTTTCCTTCTGTAATCTGAAAACATTTTCAGAATTTCAAATGCTAGAGTGAAATACTTTTTCATATATTGTTTTTCTGAAAAAGGATTAAGTTGGTTTTAGAGCTAAATGCTTTGTCTAAACTGTCCAAACAAGTAGCCAAGTTATGAAGCGTACTTCTTTATACACATGAATTACATTTAAAAAAAATGGGAATCCACACTTATATTCTGGCAGTTTTTCCTCTATTTTTTTTTTCAAAAATAATTCTTTTTGAAAATTAATCTATGTGTTATTTTAAGAAGACTAAATATTTTCAGTACTTTTTGTCTAATTGTGACTTTTTCTTTTCATGCTACATCTAAGATGTGTGGTAAGAATTTTCAAGACTTTGAAAATTTTAATTAATTGGCATTTACTTAAGTTTTAATTGATATTTACTTAAGTTTTAATTTATATTTAGTTAAGTTTTAATTGATATTTACTTTAAGCATTTAATGATGAAATTGTTTAAAGTTTGTGAATTTTATTTTTATGATCATCTTAATGTAATTCTTATAAAATAAAATTTCTATGTGTGCGAAGATATTTAAAAGTATAAAATTGGTTGTGAAACAGCAGAATTTTATTTCAACTTTTCTACACCTTTCTCAATCTTTATAATTAATCTACTTTTTAAAAATACTTTTTATTTATTTATTTATTTTTTTTGTTGCTAAACCTTATTTTTAACATATATTGTAATGGTCTTTTCTTAATTTGCAACACAGTAAAGATATAAATTTTTTGGTTGTATTTGCTTCTATTTTGAAAATGCAATACAATTTCTTTGTTCTTTTTCTTTGTTTGCAAATTGTCCATCCGATTTCCAAGTTTTGAAGGATTTTTACTATTAAGCAACACAGCATGTTTAATCTAAATCAGCAATTCCTAGCTTAGCAACTGTTTTTAGTTTTTAAAATTTTTTCTTTATTTAATTTTGCATTTGAAAAATTGATGGAAAATGAATATTTAAAAGTTATAAAAGATCTTTTTTTACAGGTTGTACTATCAATTATGTAAAAAAAATGAATTTAGCTATAAATAAATACTAGTTTGTTTATTTATTATCTGCTCAATGTTTTAATGTTTTGCATCTGACAAGAACTCGATCTCGATGCTAAGGAAAAGCAAATATTTTGTTATTGCCAAGTTAATTGTTTTAATTCCTGTTTGTTGATTAAACCTTTTTTAGTTATTTTATATTTGATTAAATCTTTACAACAATATATTATATTTCTTATAGATAAAGTTAGTTATGTTACAAATAATTTACGGATTATAAATAAATGTAAGAATCAAATAATTAAATGTATCAAAGAATAAGAAATGACTGTAAATGAAAATTTCTTTTTTTCTGAAGTACATTCTGGCTGCCAAAAATTGTCCTTGCTGTTATAAATTATTTTTTTATTGTTGTTGTAGACCTCTGGTTATAAGAGAATATTTTTGAAGACTTTCTTGCAAAACTTGTTCTTGCCTAGTAAAAATTAAAATTTTTCTTTATACACATTACTTATTGTTTTTTTAAGATAGAGTTTTTAAGTGTCTTTTGAATTGTTATATTTTTGGAATTGGAAAATTGTATTCTTTAATTAGTTTATCTCAAAAAGTTTATTTTTTTATTGCTTAGGTACACTTTTCTGTCATTGTAAAACATGAAATTTGGTATGTTGCGATATTGCTCATTTAACAAAATACATCATTTACAGTAAATTTTGTTTTAAAATATATCTTTAATTTCGATTTAAATAAAAGTATGAGTAATTTATGAATTTCTACCAATGAATGAGTAATTTTTTCATTTCATAAAAATTAGTTCATTTTAAAAGATATACTTATGTATGCTTGGATTTTTTTGTGTTTTGTTTTAAATGTAATAAAGTGCACTGTTTATTATTTAAAATAAGAATCTATTTTACACAGGTAAGGGTGGAAAAAAATTGGAAGAAGCCAAAGAGAGATACATGAAGATAACCAATAAGCTTCATAGACTTCACAATGATTACGTCATTCTGGTGCACGAAGGGAAAGAATACGAGAAGCATCTTCGTAACACGATGCTTCCCTCACTCTTAGAATACCACCAGACGGTGCTTCAGGAAGCTGTTGACAGATGGTCAGTCCTTCTATGTTTGCCCAAAATTATTTCTGTTTATTGTATTTCTTCATGTATTCTGTTTTTTTATTCTCCTTATATGGGTGATTCTCACGAAACATGACAATTCAGACCAAAACATTTCTTCAAATTCAAAGTCTTCAAAATAATCTAAAATTTTTTTTGTATACTTCTTTAGCTGCACTTATTAATATCTTATAGACAGTGTAGTTTATTGACATTTGCTCGAGAAAAAAAAATAAAATAGAAATTCACCAAATCTTGAATGCCAGGAAAATGACATATTACCTTAGAAGTTTAAAGAACAGTCATTTTAAGTTAATAGTAAGTAACTCCTTTTAATGCACTGTAGAAAGAAACAAAAAAATTTTGTTGCTGATATGTACAGATAACTTTGATTACATCCAAGCATATTACAATCATACATAAACTTGGTATGAGGTTAATATTTGCTTTCTCTCTTTACAGTATTATCAGTTAAAAAGAATTTCTGGTAACACTTCAATGTCCTGGCATTCATAAGCCAGGAAAATGACAGCCAGGATTATGACAAATTCGCCATTTTATAGCATATAACTTTACTATAATTTAATATTTTGACCGAAGACGTTTATATTCTGCAGAAAACAACAGTATTTCTTAAAATTACTCAGATAAATCTATGTAGTTTTTGTAATTAATGATTTCAAGAAGCCAGGAAAATGACAGCATAAAAACCTACTCTCCTTGAAAAACTTTTTCAAATAGATTTTGAGCCAGAAAATTGGTTCTTTATTCATGCAGCAAGGCATGTTCATATAGGAGGGTATCTAATCAATCTATTAACATAAGATATTGATTGCTGGCTCNTTTAAGTGTCTTTTGAATTGTTATATTTTTGGAATTGGAAAATTGTATTCTTTAATTAGTTATCTCAAAAATTTTATTTTTTTATTGCTTAGGTACACTTTTCTGTCATTGTAAAACATGAAATTTGGCATGTTAATGTGATATTGTTCATTTAACAAAATACACCATTTACAGTAAATTTTGTTTTAAAATATATCTTTAATTTAGATTTAAATGAAAGTATGAGTAATTTATGAATTTCTATTAATGAATGAGTAATTTTTTTTATTTCATTAAAATTTGTTCATTTAAAAAGATATACTTATGCATGCTTGGATTTTTTTGTGTTTCGTTTTAAATGTAATAAAGTGCACTGTTTATTATTTAAAATAAGAATCTGTTTCACACAGGTAAAGGTGGAAAAAAATTGGAAGAAGCCAAAGAGAGATACATGAAGATAACCAATAAGCTTCATAGACTTCACAATGATTACGTCATTCTCGTGCACGAAGGGAAGGAGTACGAGAAGCATCTTCGTAACACGATGCTTCCCTCACTCCTAGAATACCACCAGACAGTGCTTCAGGAAGCTGTTGATAGATGGTCAGTCCTTCTATGTTTGCCAAAATTATGAATATTTCTCTTAAATGCTTTTTCTGTTGCATTGTATTTCTTCATGTATTCTGGGTTTTTTTTCCCTTCTCCTTATATATATTCTCTGTTTTCTTATAACTACATTACATTGTTTATTTTTCTAATCTACGGTTTCAAAAATAAATAACTAAATAGATAATAAAAAAATAATTACAATTATAAGTTAAATAAATGAGAAACTTCTGTTTTTGATCTAATGAATTTTAATGTTTTAAAAGGTAGACCTTAAATATGCTTGTGCAGGTGTTATTTTATGCCGAGAAATCATGCATAAAAACAGACTTTCTCTACCAGTTTTATTTAGCAAAAATAGTTGCTTGTGGTCAGCATATTAGTTTTTACCTTCATATGTCTTTCCACCTGCAGCTCTTGCAGAAAAATTAGTTTTCCTATTGTTATTCAGTTGTGTATGGAGTGGGCCTGAAAATAACCACTCTACACGTTACGAGTTGACAAAAAAAAAAAAAAAAAAAANAAAAAAAAAAAAAAAAAAAAAAAAAAAAAAAAAAAAAAAACTGGCGACTTAAATGAAGTAAACAACTAGTTACCTTTTCCCTTGTTTTTTTTTTCTTTTCTGAAATTTGTTTAAGAACAAAAGTACATTAGCACAGAAAGATTCTAGAAAACAGAATTTTCATTCAAATATCTCCATTCAATATTTAAATTCTTCAGAATCCATCTTTTTGTGATGGAAAGATTCATGTGGAAGAAGAATTCTTTAACGATACACAAATTCCAAAGTTGTAATTTATACTATAAGTGTATTTTGCCACACCAACTATTTTTAAACAAAATTCTTTAATATCTACATGACTCATACTTGTTAAACTAAATTTTCTCACATATTTGTATTATTTTTATTGTCAAAGAAATTTTTTAAAGCAATTGATTTTTTCTAATATGATTTTTTTTGTTGCAAAAAGTGGCTATTAAAGAAAAAGGACCTATCGATATCGGTCACCGATTTGTTAGGTATGAGGAAAAAGCGGCTACAAAGTTATTAGAGTCTACTTGCTGAAGATTTAAATTTTCAGGTCCAGTATGGAACACGAATGCAAAATGCTCAGTTGATATTATTTTTTAATGATAAAAAGTTTGGTTTTTATTAACTGTCAGCTTCTTAGTCATTTTCACGATTCTGTAAAATGACTTCAGTACTCAATAGTTATAAGTAAATATTTGTGATACTTTATTTGAAATCAAGATATAGTGTCTAATAATAAAACAGTCCATTTTGTTTAGATTTTTTTAATTACATCTTTTTATTTTTAATTAAACATAATAGGTCTTACAGAAAAAGGGTTTCTTCAGGGTTGGAGAGAAGTATGAGGAAGTTTCAGAGAGAGATGCTTGCCATTCCTCACACAAAATGCAGCGTTATGGTGGGTGTGCCTGTAAAAAGTGTTCAGTCAATAGACATGAATTCCTGATAGTCCCAGGGAGCCTCTTTAAAACACATAATGTTTTAAGAAATACTAAGAGCTGTAAGAAGTTGATCCTTGATTTTGATTTTTTATGCAGCAGGAGACTTGGAAGGACTGCAAGATAATGGTGTAATAGATTTATCATTACCAGGGTGCACCACGAAGATTTCATTTAAATGATCTTCATATGCCCTGTGACAGAATCTGTAAGAGCTATTTGCGACAAAACTCTCCAGCACTCATGTCTTTCTGCTAAATGCTTTTAATAAGAACAAATATATATGTTAATAATTTGAAATAACAAAAGCACTGTGTTTACAAAGGAAAAAAACTATATAATTTGATTTTAATTGAACATGTAATAATTTTTTATTCTTATAGTATGGATGATATTCTCGCATTTTCTGGGAAGGGGGGGGGTACACACAAATCATTTCCTTGGCATTTTATAAGTAATCATCACAACAAAAAACTAATTAAAATCGTGAAATCCGTAGTAGTAATTGATGGACAAGATCGACTACGAAATCAATCCTCTAATGCGTTTTTTGTTTCAAGATTAGGTTGTTGTAATAAATAATATATAAAAAAAATAACAGATTTAAAAACTATGGAGAAATTGATGGCATAACTGCCAAAAATTTGATAGAATTATTGCCTTAAAAAGTAAATACTCAAGTGTATGATTGAAATTTTCCATAGTGTTTGAAATATATTGGAATATTTAAAATCCATGTCAAAATCAATTTCAGTAACTCCCAAAAATACAATCTAATCATTACATCGGTTTATAATACTATAGGCGTAAATTGAGCGCTTCAAAAAGTGATTATATAAATGCATGATTCAAATATTATGTGTAAATATCTATTGGAAAGTAAAGTAATTTTTTTTTACTTTTCAAAAGAAAACTTTTTCTGCAAGAACTCAGTAACATTCTGTGACACTGTTGTCGTTTCACTGCAATTCTGTCAGTGGGTTGATGTGGAACACATACAATTAAAGTTATTCTAAATGATAATTTCTAATTTTCTTAGGAAAACTCTGATGCTTCAGTTTGTGAGTTACACAGATTTCTCCAATGACACGTTTCGATCTCTGAACATCAAAATTAAAAAAAGTGTCGAGTCTGTTGCGGGAGAAGATGAATATAAAGATTTTACTGACAAGCATAGGTAAATTATTTTTCAACCATGTTTATATTGAAATGTTTTTAATATAAATGATATTCAATTAAATTTTTTTTGCCTTCTCTATTTTCAGATCTCATCCACCCAATTTAATTGACTTCAAGTTCGATAGTAGTCTTCTACACGATTATAACGGACCCTTAAAGGCAAATCAGCTTGCTATGGATGATATGACTTATGATGCATTACGGGAAAAGTAATACAAATGAATTTTTTAAAAAAAGAGATCTCTTTTATTTGATTTTAAAATACTATTTTTTTGTAAATTTGTTGATTCTTTGTGAATATTTCCACTTAATTGTCCAGGCTAATGATTTATTAATACATTGGCCACAGAACAAGTGCAGTGTTTTCACTACAGCGCGAGAACATGAGAGTCTCGCATATTTTTTCCTTCTCTCACATTAAAAAACGATTACTGCGCGAAATTCGCGCACTCTATTAATAAATTTCAAAATGCACGAATCTCTCGCTTTTTGGAAAAAGTTTCAGCTTGCACCATTTTGAATAAAACCCGTTTCAATTTTCTACCTTGATCTTTCATTATTTTCAACATCGGTCCCTGTTATCTAGCTGTTTCCTTATTTACCAGTATTGTTCAGAACCAGTGTGAACAGCAGAACAACATTTCCCCGAACGACGGAACCCCGTTTCAGAACACATTTCTTTGCAACCACGTGTTCACTGCAGGTAAGGTTTCTTCATGTGAGACGTTTAAATTTTTTGTCACTAATGAAAATGAAACCTTTATACATAGCTGCCAACTGTTCAGAATTTTTTAGGATTTGTTCCTAATTTTTAAATCCAATCTGAAAATCTGATATTTTTATAAAAAATCTGAATTTTCATAAAATTTTTGATTTTAAACCAATCCTTTTTTCTGATCGCCACAAGCACACATCCTGTGATTATTGTGCTAAAGTAATTTTTAGTAGCTTTTTATTGGAAAATATTATTCCAATAGCTGTCTGTTGCTGATTATTTCACTAAATTATTATTTTTGGAAATTTTTTTTTGTAGTATTTAAACACTTGCATCAGAAATATTTGTTTATGATGTAGATTATTATTTACCTGTGTTTTNGGCTGTGAAATCTATGCTGGAAGACCTAGCATAAAGTATGAACATGGAAATATAGTAAACGAACTTCACCATTCTATAGCAGAAGTAATTGAAAAGCATATGATGGCAGAGGATTGGAAAGTGTGTGCACATGCTGCAAATTTACTTAGTGATTCCGAATAGTTTAGCATCTGTTGAAAGGTCTTTTAGCACCCAAAACCGAATTAAGACAAAATATCATAACAGATTGACTGATAAGCATTTGAGCACTAATGAGAATAACTGATGAAAAAGTAGACATGGAACATTTTCCATATGATGATGCAGTAAAATATTCTAATTTAAGAAATAGAAGATGTTAAATATTATAATTAAAGAAATAATTTTTTTCGGAGTCTATTTGTGTTTTTTTAATTTTTAGAAATCTCACTTAACTTTTTGAAATCTTACCCTGTTATTGAGAAAAGGTGAGAAATTTTCACCCAATTTTTTTTCTGTAATGAAAACACTGAAGTGTTTGAGATACTTATATGCTTTTCCAAAATATTCGTCTCGTAAAAAAGATTTTTTTAAATAAAAAATGGTTTTACTTTCCAATTTGAATAGCCATTATAAGGGTTTTTAAAATATTATATATATAAGAAGTAGACCTCTGGAACCAACCCTAAAGGGTTGGTTACGGAGGTACTCTTAGGGCAGAATTTTAATGATACCGGGATGAATTAATTCATTAGCAATTATGAACCAAAGAAAAAATTATTTTGAGGATATTTAATGGGAGGAATGAAATTTTAGTTTGTTATCAATAATACTTTTTTTTAAAAAATTAGATTTTATATCAGACAGTTTAATGTGTTGGACTGGAATAGCATCTGTTTTAGTTTTTTGGTGTATGCAATATGAAGCTGAGTTATGTTTCTCGTTAAAACGAAAATGTGAAAAAAAAAACTATAAATTTTAAAAATGTTTATCAAGAAAATTTAAATGGTGAAGTTTGATGAAAAGAACAATTTTGAATTGAAAAGTTTCGTGGGAGATACTAATAATTTGCTTTATTTTTATGAATTCGTATCCCTCTCCTAATTTATTGATTGTATAGATAAGAATAAACTTATATATTTTCAAATTTCCCAAAACTTGTTAGAAAAGGGTCGTGACTCTCGATATTCCGGTAGCATTACCGGAATTCAAATCCAGTTCTCCTCATTGGAAGGCGAACGCTCTATCCCCTAAGCAATCGCGACTCTTATTTAAATATTCATTCAATTTTAAGTTTTTGAAACTTAAAGGTAGGCTCAGTCACTTTCGCCTCGGACTATCGAGACTGTTACTGTAATACAATTTATGCCATCAGTTATAAAATTTTGGAAAATTTAATAAAATCAGTCCTGAAAAAATCAGCGAAATTTCCTTTTCTGAATTTTTTGCGGCCACCCTGTTAATGAAATTTGGCTTAGCTTATTGTATTGCAGCAAAAAAGACTTGCATGCTTATGGAGCATGAAGATTTTTATATATGTTATTATTATATTATGTTATAATTTTTATGCATATTTAAATAAAATGTATATTAAAATAGTTAAAGGATGTATAATTAATGTTTCTTAGAGTTGTAATGTATAAAATGAACATTCTTAATAGCAAGCTTGTTCAGCTTTTTTTTTCAAATTGTGTGTTCTTATGCTTGTCTTTCTCATCTTTATTGCCTTGTCTGTTCTCTCTACTTCATTTTATTTCCTTTTGATCCATTAATATCTTAATTCAAACCAACCAACTAGTGGGAGAACTTAGATTAGGAGTGTTTTTCAGTTCTTTTGAGTTCTCTTTTGTAACTAAACTTTTGCTTTCAGGCTTCTCAGCATAAAAGATAAAATTTCCCAGTGTCAGGCAGTTATTAAAGAAAAGGAGTTAGAAATTGGTCAGTGTGAGAATGAAATGAAATCTCTACGCCAAACATCAGAGACAGAAAACATGTAAGGATCGATTTTTCTATGATTATTTTTTTGTTAATTTTTGAATGATGTTTAAAATTCTATTTTAGTGAAAGGAATGCACTCCTACAATGTTATGTTTATTTTTAACTATTATTTGTTGCATTACCAATATTAATTGTAGTCATAAATTAATTTGATTTCAAATTCTAATTGAAATTTTTTTTTTCTGATTAAAACTAAACAATGGGAAAAAAGCACAAATAAAATATATGCTTTTATTATTTTTTTTCATATGAAGCAGAAAGTTAACACTTTCTTTATTTGGTTCCTAATTACTGCTTTTGTCATATATTTTGTATCAATAGTCTTAATATGTTGAATTTGGAGTTTGTTACATAGCTGCTAACTGTTCCAATTTTTTTTTTTTTTAGCCTTGTTCCAAAAATACGATTTTAGGTCAGAATGTTCTGCATTGCAATATTCCATATATCTCTCAAGACCCTTGTTTTCTGGAATTCCCCTGATTCAAAAACATAATCTGGCAGAATTTTGAAACTTTTGCTAAATCCGGTTAATGAGGTGTTTACATGCAAATGTTTTTCCCGCCAATTTGATTCTTTTAGTTTGGCGGATGTTCGCTATTTTGAATTTTTGGTAGTGTGCTGGAATTTGCTACTATCGCGATTTTAATATCATTAATAGATTTTCTTGCATACCTGATTTAGAAGTTGCGATTTGCATTTATGGGATTTAAAAATCGTACATCTTGATTCCTATTCATGCAACTTAAAAATCCAATATCGCAGTTTGTGAAACCAATTAATTCGATTTGTATTCATGCGATTTAGAAATCCAATATTGCGATTCGTATTCACGGGGTTGTAATATCAGACATTGATTTTTCATATTTACACAAGATAGATTTAAAAACTACACATTGTGATTCGTATTCACGCAATTTAAAAATTCAATATCGCAATTTGTGTTTTCATGTTTTTAAAATCCAACATTGCGATTCTTGTAAAAACTAAGTTTCATCTAGAATCAGTTACTATATATATGTGTGACATTCTTCATTAGTAGGTAATTTAATTAAAAATGCAAGTTCAAAAAATTATATTAAATACGAAACATGCATGGTATATAATTACATGTTTCATATTATTATCTTAATATCGATTTTTGCAGAGTTTTTCCCTTTGTTTACCCCTGATTGGCTTATCAAGCTTTGTGTACCTATTTTTGTTTTTAATAAGTTGGCAGCTATGAAAGATCACCTGACATTAAAAAATTCATTTCTCATGCTTCAACAGGCTTAGTGTTAAGCGACGTGCCATTGGAATTCTGCAGAAGGAATTGAATGAACTCTTGTGTCAAGAGCAGCGGCATCAACAGCTCCACAACCTCATCTCAGGCTGGCTTGACAATGTTCAGGCTAACAATCTTCCGCAGGGCATTGAATTCTTTGATCATTCAAATATTCATGAAACTGTTGTAAGTAGTGTTTCAAAGGAAATTAGAAATTTTGTTCCTTTTTATTTCATTTCACTCACTTATCTTCTTTTCTTAAAATCTTAGAAAGATGCTGATACTTCGAGTTTGAATGCCTTAGGGAAAAAGTCTGCTCGAATAATCATGTCGAAATTGCGACAGCCTTTTCATGCGTTTCAGAGGAAGACAAATGTTTGTATTTTTCTTCTTAGCAGTGCTTTCAAAATTTAGTTTAAATAATTATTGATTATATATGATACAGTAAAACCTGTTTAAGAAGTTTTCATGGGAATGTAGGAAAAGATTTGTTAAAAGGGAAAGGCTAAAACTATTTTTTTTTTTTTAAATAAAAAGTCATAACTGTATATTATAAGATTAATACGAAGAAGCTTTTGTTTATATTATAATATTTATATATTAAACTATACTTATTGAAATTTAACTTAATAATAAAAAAGGNAATACATGCAAAAGACAGAATATAAATATCTTGTTTATGTTCGAAGTTATAAATTTTTGAAATTGTAAAGATAATTTTGGAACACCCTGTATATTAGAATGATGTCTTGTTCAGAAATAATGCCATACAATGGATAACTGGAAGGTTTCGAATTTTTGATATATGAGAGTTCTTATCTGCTTTTTCAAATTTTATCAAAATATTAATTTTCTCCTCATTATATTAGGCTTTACTTTAATTCTCCTGGCAGTCGTTTAATAAAGATAGTTAGTTCAAAAATTTTATTCTAAGAAAAAATTTCAAACACCTTTCACTCCTTTCCTCATTTAGGGGTGGCAAAAAGAAAGAGTCAAACTTGTTTCCTGTTTCTCAAAACTTCTATAATCTCCTTTCTTTCTTATTGTATTGCTCTGAGGACTCATTCTCTTTTTGCTCTTACTGTTACATGTGTTTTTCTGTAACAAGTGTGTAGGTTGGTCAAAAGTTGAAATCTAGAAATCAAACTTTTTCAAGAGCTAGCAGTTTTTACCACAATGAATTTCATCTCTAAATCTTTGAACATTTGTATACTTTTTTTCCTGGGGACTTTCCATGTTTTGGAAGGAAACTTGATAGTTTGAAAAAATTTTTTAGCCAAGAAAAAGTAGAATACAAAATTTCTTAAAAAGGAACTAGTTTGGTACTATAAAAGAAAGGATAAAATTGTTGACAGGTAGAAAAGTTCACATGTATCGACTTAAGTGGAAAAACTTTTTCTACAGAAAACAGATATCACTGTAGATCCAAATATTAAAATTGCTAAACTCAATGATGCAACAGCCCATAGAGGGCCAAGGCCTATTCTGGCCATCTCAATTATTTTGGCAGTGGACTCTGGGGGCAGGAGCAGTTGTTCCCGTTGGGTGATCAGCCAGGTGCAGAATCCCCAGTGTTTAGTTCCCAAGCATGCTCGGTACTCATTTTATTGACCCATTGAAGAAATGAAAGGCCGAGTCGACCTTGCCCGGTACGAGGATCGAACCCGGGAACTGTGGCACGAGCGACGCAGCCACCGGGTTTCAAAATTAAATTTGCAAGGCATATAATGTTTGGAAAGACATTGGAAAGTTGTAAAAGGATCTAAGGAAACATTTCTAAAATAAATAAATAAATGAAAATTCAGATATTTAAACACTGAAAAACTTGGCTTCATATAATACAGTATTTCCTAACAAAATATGCCACACCTTAATAGAAACTTATATAAAAACAATGTTTATCTTAAAATTCACTTAAAAAAAATTAGAAAGATAATTTAAATTTAATGCCAGGTGCTGCTTCTATGATGTAAACAAATAATCTAGATTTTAATATAACTTTAGGGATATTTTGAGGCATACCAAAGTTAGAATTGAAAAATTAAGATTAAAGAAAAAATTATTTGAAAATTGAATTGTTTTTAATGAGTTATGAGAAACATTGCAAAAACGCAATAGGCATTACCACTGAATTCTTTAATGAAAAAAAAATTAAATTTAAAAGTTTCCCAATAAAACTTAAGATAACAACTAGATATCAAGAAAGCCAAAATGAAAATAATCTAATAATGTTATTTATAAATTTACCACAAATATTTATTTTTTCGAATGTATAATTGTGGCTTGTTGACAAAAAAATCTCAAATAGGATCATTTAACTCAACATCACAGTCATGTGATACTTACATTCCTGTGTTAGATGTAGCATTATTAAAAGTGCTGTATTCACATTTCGATACTATTTTGTACCTTAGTTTATTAGTTCTTGTTCAGCATATCTTTCAAACAGGTTTTTTTTTTATCCTTTTAGTTTTGTTTAACATGTAAGATACCTTAGTTAATCAATTTTTTAAAATGTAATTTAAATTAAATTACCATTATATTTAGTATAATAATCTTCAATGTCAATGAGATGTCACTGACTTATATCATAAAACATCTATGGTTCTTTATTAAAAGCAAACTAGAAAAAACAAAATGTTCCTGACTCTTTAAAATCATTCAAAAAATAATAAATGCATTAAACAATTCAATTGATTTGTTGTAAAGGGAAATATAACAGTTTTATAAAGATGGCAAATCAATTGGCAAGCTTCCACAATCCTTCTTTAAAATCTAATTTTCTATGTTAGTAAAAACATTTTAATTTTAAATATTAAAAATTTCTGTCGAATGAATAATTTCGAACAAATGAATTTATGAATTAAATTAAAATTTTATAAATTGGTTTTGAGCAAACTTTTCAAATGTTTTTAAATATTTGTATTGGTTAGCTACAAAACAGCCATTTTATGATTTGACAAAATTGCATAAAATGGCATTTATGAAAAAAAAAATTCAACTAGAATTTGCAGTCTTAAACTTTTTCTTAAATTGCTAATATTTCAATTTCTTGATTAAAATCTTAAAGTTTACAATTACAAAATTTGTGATTAAGGTATCTAGGTTATATATTGTGTTATGCATCAAAGATTAGAGCAATTCTGTGAAGAGCTAAATGTCCTTCTAAACCTATTTCAGTAACTGCTATGTTTCCAAATGTGAACAGCTATAAATTTTATAACTGTAATTTAGAAAATAATAAGAAAGTAAGAATGAGATATTTCCCCCATTTGTTTTATTCTATTAATTATTTCACGTTATATTAGAGCCCTCATTTGAATGTACATTATGGTTATTGCCCAATAGTTATACGAAACTTATTATACAAAATTTGCAAATAGTTATTCAAAATATACAAATACATGTACAAATAGCTTTACAAAAAAAAATATCTATTAAATAATTCGTTTAATTTCTTGAAAACTTTTTTTTAATTGTTATTAGAATTCATTTGAAGAATCATTTTCAAGCCCTGCAGTTCATCAAAGTTACTCACTGACAAGTCCTGGGAATGATAATGTAAGTTTTTAAAAAGTACATTTTATTTTGGATAATGATTTTTAAAAAAATTATTTTTGCAATTTACTGTATCCCTTCTTAATATAATTTGAAAATTACCACTGTAGATTTATACTAAAATATAATTCGTACTGACTGGAATATGTTGAGAAAAAAATGTTAATATCATTCAACAATCTTTTGTTAAAAGTCTTGTTATTAATAATCCAAAATTTCATTTTTTTTCCATTTAAAATTTGATAATTTTTTTCATATTTTTTTGTTGATATTTTTCTATGTGAAATTAAAACTTTAAATAAATAGTATGTAGTTGACAAAAAAATCATGTTCATTAATTTTGTTTGCTATATTTCAGGGTTCGTTGATTTAAATCTGCTTGATTTAAGTCACGATTTAAATCATGATTTAAATCAAATGATTTTTTTAAAAAAATCATTGATTTAAATCAACTATATTTTTTTATCTATATATATTGATTTTAAAAATTAAAAAACAGTGTTTTAAATTTTTGATACTTTTATAATTTTCTTTTCTTTGTGTTAAAATTTAATTTAAATAAGTTGCTGCATTAATTAATTTTAGTTAACGAAATTACTTTCTTGGTGTGTGTTAAATTCCAACACATTTGAAATTACATTTTTAAAAATCTTTTGATTCTTGAGATTGAAAGTACAGATTAAAGTAAACATTTAATGCTGTCTTAATATAGACTTGCATAGCTGTAGAAAGTAATTAATAAACATGAATTTCTTTCAAAAAATAATACAAATAATGTTAATTAAAATTCTACCTTTTGAATGAAAAAGCGTGAATTAAAATATACATCATATTTTATTGGTGGAAAATGTATATTTCTGAAGCTTGAGGTTATATGAAAAAGAAATTACCCTAATATGCCAAAAACAGAAAAAGAAAAAAAAAGGCTGATGAATTCAGATGTTTTTTTCCTAATATAGTGTCATTCTTCCCTTTCAAACTCTTTCAAAGTCTATTTGATGCAGTAGGGTTATTAACTGGTATTTTTTTCTCATAATATGTTTACAGTATCTTTGACATTATCTGATTTTCTATAAAGAAATTTTGTGAAAAAAAATTCCAATGAGTACATAGATTTTCTAATTTTTTTTTAGCTTAACTTATCTATTTTGACATAGAATTAAAAATGAATATTTTAATATAAAAATATATAGATTAAATATTTATTTATTTTTTGATGAATGACTACATTTATAAACACAGTCTGCTACATTTATTTTGTCATTTTAAAAATCAAGAGAAAAAAAAAAGAAATCACAATTTTAAATTAAAGTTATGGTTTGCTAACTGAAACTTTGTTTTAATAGTTAAAGTACAGGGGTCTGTCCAAGCCAAATTTACTACCGTTTAACGGTACCTTTACAAATTCAACTTTAGGAAAAATGATAGAATAATCACACAAAATACTTTTTCTTAAAATTTTATTTTTGTGTCTCGTAAGAAACAATAAATCCATATTTTTACTATATTTGTGTTGATTTTTTAATATAATTTTTAATTTTCACAAAATAGGTACCTCTCAGAAAAACCCAGACAGACCCCTGAAGTATTCTTTAAATTCTCTATTTCATCTAGTCTTTAAATTTTAATCATGCATTTGTTTCAAAATGGTTGCTATGCATTCAAAGCCATGTATTATAATGAAAAATTATTTTAGTTAGAGCTTCTAAAATATTGTTACAATATAGTTTTAATATTAAGTTAATTTGATTAAACATTTATAATTTTTTTTAATCATAAATTAAAGTTCTTACAGTGTATTTGAATAAAAATCAAAAAAATCTGATTTAAATCAAAAAAATTCGTCTTAAATCAAAAAAATCTGATTCTTTTGATTTTTTTAAAAAAAAATCACGAACCCTGCTTTATTAAGTCTTGTGCATAGATTTTTTTTGTTTGTAATTTAATGAATTCTTAAATACTTTGTAAATAATTAAAGTTTTTATCTAAAACCTATTGTAGTACTAATTAATCATTTATATTTCTCATTTATTTTAAATGTAAGACTCAAACTTTTTTTTTTTAAACAAGCAATGAATATTTAAAAAAATGTTTCATTAATAATTGCCCATATTTTACACACATATTTTTCTTTTTAAAACAGAAATTTTGATCAATACCTCAATTTATTTGTGTAACAACTGTTAAGTATAATATTTGATATGGTGCATATTTCCTTTTCATCTTTTTTAAAGCAATAATTATAGTTACAATAGAGGCCCAATTATGCGAGTAAATGTGGACCATGACTCACTCAGATAACCAAAAAACTCGATTAAAGCAAAGAGTATAAAAACGGAAAGAGTAGGTATAAATGTAATATATTTAGCAAATACAAAATTTATATGAGACATGCAATTCAATTAAAAAGCTTACTTAAAAGAGCTAACTTTACGAGAATAAAAGAGTTTTTACTTAAAAAAGTCTTTAATTGGTTTTTTGTTTTGCATTATTTTGGCGCTTTTCTGCAGCAATGTTTTGCCATTTTTTTAGGGATAACAGGAAAGCTGGTATCACCTCTTGTTCAATATATTGAATAGTACTTTCAATAGCTTTTAATCCATTTGTATGAGAGATTTGTATATGTTGATTTTCATCTTCACTGTCTTCGTCTTCTTCGCTAGATTAATTTTTATTATTGACGATCGTTTCATCGGATCAAGTTTTATATATTTCGTTTTCTTGCGTGCTTGGAAGATAAAATGCAGATTTTTTTCCGATGTTTTTCTAGTTTTAAAAATAAAGTAGAACAAAAAATTCTTGAATTATTTCATAGCTCTGTTAAAATGGAAACTCAAATAATCGAGACTCGTAATATTTGTAAATGTGAATTTTCTCTGAGTGAAGAAAGAGTGATATGACCCCCTAAATTCTTATCCTAAATCCTAAGTGATTTATTAAGTTTTATAAAAAGTATATTTGTTTTGAAATTTTGGCTTTAGTTCGCTACCATCGATAAAAATATTTGGCTGAAAACTCAAATGTTGGAGGATACGAAAGGGTGACTTGTGGCAAAGCTAATAAAAATAAATAAGAACAAATAAAGAAAATTTTTATGGTCAATTAATAGATTAAAAATGCTTATTTTGTAATTTAGTTATGAAAAAACTAGCTTTAGTTTGACAAACAGTTCATTTCTTATTAAAGTGTAAAAATTATCGCAGCTTTCTTTTGAAATATCTGATTTTTGACTTTGAGTTCCTTTATAATCTTTAATTGTTTATAAAATAATGATTTGAAGTAATGATTTAACCTTCAAAAAGTTGTTCCCAAGTACACAAGTTCAATACAAGGGCAAGGCTATTGTTTTCCAGGACTGATCTAAAAGCTTCTGAAAATATTGTTTCAATTATATACCCGTTAAATGTATTTTAAAGTAAACTCTGCCTGTTGTAATGTGCTTCTGTGTAGGAGTTCCAGAAACAACTTTAAAAGTTCTCTTTTAAGAATGCTCTTCAGTTCTGTTTCTTAATAATTCCAACATCCACAAAGTTTAGCACATTTTTTTTATTTTTAAGTTGTGGGGAGGATTCGTTCACTATATTCTATGTGCAAATCTATTTGTCCTCAAACTTGTCTTGTCTATGAAACTGGAAAATCTAATAACACTATTACGCCCTTTGGTTGTGGTGATTAGAGAAAAGATATCAATAAACAAACCTATATTTAGTTATTAGAAATGTTCAATCCAGAGAATAAAAAACGGACCACTCTGAATAACTTTTGATCTAATCTAATCATCGGATCTTCACATTCTAGGACTCAATCTTGATGTTTCGAGAGGGTGACTTTAAGTGTGCAAATTAATTGGTGCAGACAATATTTTAAGTTACGAAATCAGACACAATTTTTTTTTTTAATGGTGGGCACTTGGAACTATTGTCCATTGGCCTCAGAAAGTGCCAGAACTACTACCCTCTTCTTGTTACCCAGTGGGCACCTGTGGCAAAGCCACGAAGGTGGAGCAGCATCGCTGACGTCACTCACGGGCGTGACACATTCACACAATTAAACACACAAAGGAGAAAGGACATAGAACACACAGAGAGAGAAAGAAACATCCATGCCCAGAGCGGGATTCGAACCTGCATCCACTGGCTCCGCAGTCAGGCACGCTAACAGCTCGAACAAATGGCCGGCTAAACACAAAAACTTATTTTTGATGAATAAGCATACCTTTCTTAGCCGGATTTGAAGTTTTGACCCCCCCCAAATATAGGGGGTAGCCACAATTCGGGAAATAGGGTCCCTGTAGTTTGGTCAAGAGAGCCATTCAAAATTTGGAGCCCCTAATGTTAACTTTGTTTTTTTGCATATTTCGCCATATATCGAGAACTTTTTACGCGACTTGAAATATCTTTGCGCACAATGCTGAAATTTGGATAAAATCCATGCAAAAAGAAAATTTTATTAAATATTTACTATTTTTATTATTTTATTTAGCAATATTGAAAAAATTTTGAATTGTAAGGTATACAATTTTTTTACATAATTTTAAAGAATCTAATCTTACATGGCAAAATACAAAATTTCAGCAAAATCAGTTGAATAGCTCCTGAGAAATTGAATTTTTAAAAAGTCGTATATTTGCAGAATTTATTTTCAGGATTTCTAAGGAACTATTCAACCAATTTCGCTCAAATTTTATACTATGCCATGTAAAATTAGATACTTCAAAATTATGTAAAAATTTATATGTACTCACAATTATGTACCTCACAATTCGAAAATTTTACAACTGTTGTTAAATAAATTAATAAAAAATAAAAAATATTTACTAAAATGTACTTTTTTTGCATGGATTTACCATTGTATAAATGAATGTTATAATTGTGTGCAAAGATTTTTCAATTCACTTTAAAATTTCTTGAGAAATACCCAGTTTTTGCAACATACGCAAAAAATAAACGTTAGGGGGTCCACATAAAAAATAAACGTACTTTCGATTGCTCTCCTGACTAAACTATGGGGACCCCATTTCTCAGATTGCAGCTACCACCTATATTTTGGGGGTCAGAAATCTGAATCTTTCAGAAAAAGGTATGTTTAATTAATTCGTATGTTTGAGGTCACCCCCTCAAGCCATTAAGATGGAGTCCTAGAACGTGAAGATCTGGTCATTAGATCAAAATTCATTCAGAGTGGTCCTCTTTTTGTGCGTGCACTGTATATCAAGATGATAAACTAATAGAATCAACAAATTTTTCTATTGTTACATTAAATGGCGTAGATTTAGCAGTGCCATTTTTATAAATATCTTACAGAGGTTTAAAAGGTGCTCTTTGTAACTCTCATGTTTATTTCTTGTAGGTTAATCTTAATCCATCTTACATGAGTCTTCAAGATGAAGATTGGTTTCATGGTGTTCTGCCACGAGAGGAAGTGGTTCGCCTTCTGCAAAATGAAGGGGATTATCTCGTTCGAGAAACCTTCCGGAACGAGAGCAAACAAATCGTTCTCTCTGTCTGTTGGGAGGGTCACAAGCATTTCATTATTCAAACAACACCAGATGTAAGCATTTATTTGATGTTCCTTTTATTTAAAAATGGCTTCTAACCAAGGTTTCTAAAATCAGTATCAAGGTTTGATAATGTTTGAAAATACTAGCATTTTTTAAAATTGTATCACAATACATTTTGTGTTACTGAAAATGTAACTAAATCATAACTATGTAACATATTATATTGCAATAAAATGTTTAATAAATGTGCCATAATTCACATGTTGCAATGGAATAGTAACAAAATAAATAAGTGAATAATAATAAATATAAAATTTAATAAAAAATATAAATTCTAATTATTTCTTTACATACCGTAAAAAAACTGGTTTAGTGTTTAAAAATTGTGTAAGCGGCTTTAAGTCAGAAAATGTCTATGTGGGAGTTAGCTTACTGTTTTGCCAATGATAATTAGACCCCTTAAGAGATGTTTTCTGATGACAAAAGGAATTGTACTGTAGTTGTAAAATTTTGAAACTAATTTTATCCTTTTCTTAATCAGGTGTGATTGTACTCCGGGGTACCCCGGAATTCTGAATTTTTCGTATCATTTTTCCGGGCCTAAAAACTAGAAGCATTGTATGCGATTTTTGCTCAAATATCATAGAAATCCGCGTATCTCAAGACCATTGGTTTGCGGACTTCTGCGAATCAGAAATTTATACTCCGACTACATTTTTAAGCTTTTTATAAATCCCGTCAATGTGAGTATTACATACATTCTTTCGCCAATTTGACTCTTGTTTTAGTGGATTTTCACCATTTTGAATGTTTGGAACTGAGTCACTAATTTGCTAATATTGCGATTCTTATTTATGCTATTTTAATATCAAATATTGATTTTGGTATTTACCTTATTTAGAACCTGCATGTTGCGATACATTTTCACATGATTTAAGAATTTAATATCACGATTTGTGTTCATGCATTTTTAATACCAAATATCTTGATTCGTTTCCAGGCGAGTTTAAAATCAAATGCTGCGATTCGTATTCATGCATTTATAATATCAAACATCGATTTTCACACTGATACATGATTTAAAAACTATGTATAGCTATTCATATTCATATAATCTAATAATTAAGTACACAGTGATTTGATTCCCCGATTTAAAAATTCAATATTGCAATTCTTGTAAGAAGTTATATTTTTCCTAAATCAGTTACTCTAAAGGTGTGATATTCTGCATTAATAGGTAATTTAATTATAATAGTTAGTTCAAAAAATTATGTTAAATACGAAACATGCATGGTATATAAATTGACGTCGATTTTTTGCACATAAAATTTTCAGGTTTTTGACTCTGTGTCACAATCATCCCTGTTTAATAAAGAAAAAGTAAAGTTTACTTTTATTTTAATATTTAACATTACAAAACAACTAACTTAACTGATTCAGCCTTCTTTAAGCCTCTTCCAAAGAAGCCCCTCAGTTGTTGGGATTTTCTATTTGATTATGTGATTGTGTTGGAAAATGTAATCAAATAGATGAGCAGTATTTTCCTCCTTGCTGGGGGAAGTTGTGTCTCAGTTAGAAGGAAGTGGGTGTTTTGGTAGTTAGTTATGTTTTGCTTTTGATAGAGTTATGTTATTCTCTTGAAGAGTTTTGTTGAATGTAAAGTTCTTCTAAATAAGCATAGTTGCACAGCTTTCTGTGAATTAAATTCTTCATTTATAATAGATATCTGCAGTATCTGAAGCTCAATAAGTTGGTTCTTCTTTTCAACAGATTGAACTTACTTTGTTCATAACGTCGTGTCTCTTAGACAAACTACACTTTATTCAAAAAATTTGTTTACTAGTTTTGCTTTTTTTTTAGATAGACAGAAAATAAATTCTTAATAACTTTTTACCTGTAGATGAGTTACTAAAACAGTACAAAAGGAATACAAAAATAAAAATATGAAGCAAAAAACTGGAAAAGGGTAGCCAGGAAAAAAACTTCTTGAGAAGGCCAAGATCGAGCCATTGATGATGAGCTTTGTTTTTGCAGGGGAAATTTCGATTTGAGGGACCTGCCTTTCCATCTGTGCAGGAACTGATACTATACCAGTTTCATTCAGGACTTGCAGTGACGGGTCGCTCTGGTGCCATCCTTAAAACTCCTGTCTTGAGAGAAAGATGGGAGTTAAATAATGATGATGTTGAGCTCGTGGAAAAGATTGGAAGGGTATGTTCTTTATTCTGATTGCAAATCTTGTTTTTATATAATTTTGTTATAAACTTGATTCATTACTATTGTATGTTGAAAAAATGTTATTTATTAATGCTTTTTACCCTACAATTAAATTGTAAAGATGTTGGTTAAAGTTATGAAAGGTGGTTATTTGTCGCAACTTGGTATCTTTTGGAAAATAAGGAAAGAAAAAAAATGTTATTTAAGAAATTAAAAATGATTAATTATGTATATAATTCTTTATTAATTATATATACATTCGTGAAGCGTTAAGCAAAGTGATGTGGACGGAACTTCTTGTTATCTAAACTAACTAGTTAAATCTGTTACTTGCAATATCAAAATAATAAGTGCAAAATGTTCAGTTTTGCAAAAAATGAAATGATAATAATAAACCTTCCAAAAAGGTATCTTTTATTAAAAAGTGTCTAAAAATATTTTATGATTGGAATAAGGAAACCCTCTTAAATTCTGTTGTTCTGTTTCATTAACTGCAGGGAAACTTTGGGGACGTGTACAAAGCGATGGTGAGGGCGACGGGGATTGAGGTTGCAGTGAAGACGTGCCGTATGAATCTTCCAGATGAGCAGAAGAAGAGGTTTCTGCAAGAAGGAAGAATCCTGAAGCAGTACAACCACCCCAACATTGTGAAGCTCATTGGTATCTGTGTTCAAAAGCAGCCCATTATGATTGTCATGGAACTGGTACCAGGTAACACACTTATTATTCTCCTCCTCTTATCTTATTCCCTCAATTATCAGGGGTAATTGTATTCCAGGTTTTTCCTATTATTCTTCTCCCACTAAAAACAGGGCATGTGATTTTCCCACGAATATTCGTAAAATTCAGCAAATTTCTAGATTATTGGTTCGCGGACTTACGTGAATAAAAACTTATAATCCGACAAAATAAATCTTTTGTTAAATCACGTTAACGAGGCGTTTGCATAGATGTGATTCTTCCGCCAATCTGATTCTCGCCAAAGAGGTCGCCAAAGAATCTAATTTTTAAAATAGAATTTACCCCCCCCCCCCAATTTCACAGTGTTCCGAATATCTGAATTGAACAAAATCCCCACTCACAGTCATATTTTATTGAAATATAAAAAAGCATTTTATTCAAATATAAAATATTTTTATCATGTTCGTTAAAAATTGTGATGTTCTTTCAAAAACTGAAAGAAGAAACATCATTTCTAGAGGGAGTTATCTTTAAAACTTCTGTGATTTCAGAATTTTTATTATTATTATTTTTTTAATTTTATCAATTTAAAATTCTTGCTGTAGCAAGCCAGTCACTGGCGATTTTTTTAAATTCTGAAATGAGATCAAAATCAAGAGAATTTCTTTGCTTTCTGATGAACAAGAAAAGTATCTTAAGAATATGATTCTGTAGAAAAATAGAAAATATTATTTGTTTTTGTATTTTTTTCCAGCTATTTTATTGCTTCAACTCTTTCTTTACTCTGTTTTTTAAATTTGAAATCTATAAATATGAAGATGCAGAGTATAACACATTTGGTTGTACCTATGATTTCAATGAATGTTATTATTATGCTTTTTTAAATTTATTGTTGTGTTTTTGTCGGAGAAAATAGTAACTGCGTTACAAACATGAAAAATTCTTGGAATTAGTCATGGAAAGTCATGAATTTTAAAATTTAAAATGTTGCAGATACCCTGATTATAACTTTTTTTCTTCTTTTAAAATTCTTTGTTTCATCCATCAAAAGTAATTATAAATGGAATATTAATAGATAAATAAAGAATTCATATTTTAAATAAACACCCACTTGTAGTAAAAAGGTACTCAGATATTCTAGTGGAATCAATGCTTGTGATTCATGATGATTGCCTGTTATTAAATCCATATTAATCATAAATGATATGATATGTTTCTATTTCTTATGCTCCATTTTCAAAGTGTAAAATGTCCCACAGGTGGTTCCCTTCTGAATTTCTTGAGAAACAACAAGCACAATTTGTTGATAACTGATCTGTTGACGATGTGTCTAGAGGCGGCTAGAGGAATGGAGTATCTTGAGAGTAAAAACTGCATTCACAGGTATTCTAAACAGCTTTTTTGTCATTTTTGGATTCTGTTGGAAAATAGTATGATCTTCTCTGCTGGTGCAGATAATGTAAATGAATTTAAACAAATACAGTAAAACCTCGAAACAACAATATTTTTGGGACCCAATAAATATAGTGTTGTAGAGGGATACATTGTTACATCGAGGGCTTACATACTTTAGGGACGCAATATGATTTTTTAAAAATTTTAATGATTGTATTAACTATAAATGTATATATTATCGAAAAAAAATTAATTTGCAGAGTGTTAATTGTGGTTAAATATTAAAAACAATTGAAATACAATAAGATCGCAAATATAACTGAGAATTGTTCTTGTTGAAAATAATCTGATATTATTGTTTATTTATTCATTTTTCTGACTGTTAAGTCAACCCACAAAGTATGCATTGGGTTCAAAGTACAAAAATGATTTTAGTTTGTGAATGGTGCTCCACCCACCCTCTACAGAAAAAGTTCTCTTTCATGTGTAATGCTTTGTGGTCATTTGTGACTCATGATCAGCTTTTAACATGAAGGAAATGAAATCAGATATGAATGTTACATCTGTGACTTCTTAAGTGATAAGGGAGGCAATTCTAAGAATGGGAAGCTTGTGAGGTTGTCACTGCTTCTTGTCAGAAAAATATGGCAAAAGATAATAAAATAGGATTTTGTGCATTATTTGAAAACCAATAATAAATGGAGAAAATAAGGTTGAAATTTGGAGGAAAAGAATTGTTTCACAAGGGTTTATTGCTTCAGAGTAATATTGAGAGGAGGATAACATTAATTGATATGAAAGTTCATTGGGACTACGAAACATTATTGTAATAGAGGGAGTTATTGTTGTATTGGATATCGTAGTAACTTTCATTGTATTATCATTCAATTAAAAAGTTATTTATGGTGAATTTATAAGAATGCGAGAAAAAGGATAATTTGCATTTATTCTAAAAGTTCAATATTATTAGTATTATAAAATTAGGGGAGAGCAGTGAACCTTTGCTCAGCTGTACCTTAGAATGAGCAGCATAGCCTTGCCATCCATTGGCGACTAACAAAACTAACCTGACATAGTTGTTTCCTTAGCCACCATTAGTACTTAGCAACTTTAAAGTGAGATTTGTGGGAGCTAGGAAATAAAAATAAGACATTTTATGGGAATTGCATGAATTTTTTTCCTTCTAATTCTTTCTAATTGATTAGTATTAAAAATTTAGACAGTGTTGAATTTTTAATTTTGTTCTACTTAATACTAGTATTGTTTGTTAATCTGAACAACAAATTGCAAACACTTTTACAAATCATCTATATATATATATAATCTGTTGTACCTTGGGACTTAATTGTTAAGGATTCACTCAAGTTTTCTGCTAATTTCAGTGCATATCACACATTCATAGATTAATCTGGTAAATAAAGAAGCATTTTTTCATTTTTTTTTCAATAATGTTATGATGATGATGAGCTTNAAGAAGAAAAAACGATGAAGTAATACACTAATGATTATTTCCAAAATGATGGTAAGGTAAACATCTTTCAAAAAAGAACGAAAAATCCTAAAATCTTATGAGGAAAAAAAGTAATTTTTTTTAATATAATGGTGGGAAAATTTATCGAATTTCGTTCCGGTTTTTTGGTTTACTGATTTCCAGATAACGGGTTCCACACTGTATATATATATATTTAATCTGTTGTACCTTGGGACTTAATTGTTACGGATTCACTCAAGTTTTCTGCTAATTTCAGTGCATATCACACATTCACAGATTAATCTGATAAATAAAGAAGCATTTTTTCATTTTTTTTCAATAATGTTATGAATGTAAGATTTATTCGTTATATTCTGTTCATTTTTCATATAGTACCTGGATGCAACATGATGTTGTACCTTGGGGTACTTTGCAAGGGTTTAAAAAAATCATTTATTTTTTCCGTATAAAATAACATATTTTTAATTTTAAAAGGTTTATAGATTCTTTAAACAGTAAGCAATAAGATATTACTTACATTTTTACTATAATCTTAAAGTGTTAAGTAAAATTAAAAATATTTGTTTTCAAATTTTGTCAATGTACAATGCCTGTCCCTATTATTTTCTTTTTATCTTATTAATTCTAAAATTTTTTTTAAATATCGTGTGTTCTTAATTATTTCATTTTTTATCAAAAGATCAATACTTATTTAACTCTGCGTATTTGTGTTATTAAAGCAGTTATTAATTCAGCAATTTAATGAAATAAAGGTTACTGACTAATTTTATAATGAAAGTAACATTGTACTTGCTGCTCTACACAAAAATTTTTCCGCATTTTTAAGGTGGTGGTGACTTTTTTCGCTTTTCAAAATTCTGATTATTCTTTTTGAATTTTTAATAGATTTGATATTTTCTTATTAATCGTGAACATAATGTTACAAGAGTTTAGAATTTTTTAAAATAATTTACTTAATAGTTATTTTAGTCATTGCTTTCATTTTAGCCACTACAGTGAATATTTCTTTTTTGCATTAGGACTACTTTCATACAAAATTTACTAAAGAAAGTTCAAATATAAAATCATTGGTGAGTAAGAATCTTCAATAAATCGATGGCGTGATTAAAAGATAAATCAAAATATTAAAAATAAGAAAATAAAATGTTTTGTTTAATTAACACTTGATAAAAAAAATTTTGGGGAGGAAATATTTTACTTGCAAAGTAGGCGGAGTACGAAAAAATAAAAAAGTTTAGAAACCTATGGGCTAGAATTTTTTCAAAAGCGCATCCAGTTTTCAAATTTTAATTTTTTTAAAAAAGTTCTTATGAATGTGTTTATTTATTTGAAGGGATTTAGCTGCAAGGAACTGCTTGGTGGGGCATAAGAATGTTGTCAAGATCTCAGATTTTGGAATGTCACGTGAAGAGGAGGAGTACACGGTCTCGGACGGAATGAAGCAAATACCCATTAAATGGACCGCACCTGAAGCTCTCAATTACGGTAGGACTTCCTATGTCCATATTCTTAAATAAAAATCTGGTAAAAAAAATCAGTTAATAAATTGACCAAGAAACAAAATTTGGAAAAACACTAAGCCCAAAATTTGTCTTCAAATGATGTTATAAAAAAATTTAATTTATAATTAAATTGAAATAGAACAATAGAAACATGAATGTAATATAGAACTTTATCCGGGGACACCATGCAAGCATTCATGTGAAACTTGTCTTTGAATAACTGTTTAACAAAACACTCGATGTAATAGGTGGACCGGAAAGTAATGTCGTTTTGGAGCATAAAATATTCGTTAGTCTTTTTCTTTTAGGCATTGAAAGGTTGTTGCTAACGAGCGTGAATACATTATTGATTAAAAATAAAATCGTGATAACAAATATCAAATGCACCGAAATGACGTTACTTTTCGGTCCTGTACCAGTGTACATTCAGAATTTTTGGTCATTTTTTTCCACTCCTGTGCAACTCCATGATATTTTACCACCTCACCTAGTGGTTAGATAGGATGAAGTGACGCTTACAGGCTGCAAAATGTGGATTAATTTGATAGTCAGCCGGTAAAAGTACTGACATAATTAAAAACTTCATTTTATTCAGAAAACATAAAAACTGGAAATGACAGTCAACATGTTTCAAGTGCTCAAAAATAGGTGCCCGTTTTCACAACTTGCCAGACATGAATGTGAAGAAACAAAAGTGATTTGAAATATAAAATGTAAAGTTGCCAATGAAAAATGAGAAAATAAAGGTGGGAAACAAAGCTATAAAAATCGTAATAGCCGAGAGAGAAAGTGAAAAACAGAACAAGAAACACTACAATGGCCCAGAGAAGCAAATTGGAGTAAAATGCATTTCCACACACTATAGTAAGGTAAGTAATGAATGTCTTTAACAAGGGAATCTGCATTCATATGAATGAAACAAGATTCCAGGGCATCAAGATGAGCTGATGTGGCTGAGGGGAAAATAATTTTAGCATTGTTGAAATTAAATTTTTGCCAGAGACTCCCACAATATACAGCGATTGATGATTTCTCATATTCCTGATAACGGGCATATCTATCGTGTACCTCAAGTATAATTTTTAAAGCGCTTCTAGTTTGTCGCATGCAGCCAATGTGTCAGTGGCAAGGACTGTGGTAAATGCCCCAGCAGCTACCAAAACTAATAGAAGTTAAAGAGACTAAAATTTAATTTCGTTAACTGGCCTAAAAATTACTTTAAAACCAAAACGGGAGAGGATATTACCAATTTTATAATAAAAGGGAGAAAAAAGCTGTAAAGTAACAAGTTCTGTGTTAGGATTCGAAGAAGAGGGCTGTTTGGGTCTAGTGAGCTTAGCAAGAACTGAATCAACTATAAAAGGGTTAAATCCATGGTTAGTAGCAAGCGAGAGGAGGAAGTTAAATCCTGAGTTTAAAGAAAAAGAGTTAGAGCAAAGGTTTAGTGGGCAAAAAAACGAAAGTATGAAATGCAGACGTTTTCTAACAATTAGATTGATTAGAATTCACATTGAAGGCAAAGAAACGGCAAAATGTTTACGGTAAACAGAAGTGGAGAAATTATCAGGGTATTAGTTACAAGAACATCTAAAAAAGGTAAAATAAAAAAAAAATTCTTGTGAAAAGTTATTTGAAAATTGAGGTCAACTGAGTTGACAACAGAAAGTAACATCTTACGTTTCAGTTTCCTGGGATTGTTTATTTACTACTGAGGTCTTATCTCTCAAAGACTTATCTAGCTAGGTCACGAGTGACAAGCACAACAAAACGCAGGGCCTAAGGCAAAATCTATTTGCGGGACAATATATATATACTTAATATTTCTGTTTGCAGCTTAAGTCGCATAATAGATCAATAAAAATTTGCAATGAACAGTCATATCCTTCAAAAAACCATTTTTGTAAGCATTAGCATGAGGGTGTTTTAAGACATCACAGCTTAGCTCAATTTTTGTTTTTTCAATTTCTTTGTTTACCCATTGTTAGTATGGCCAGTCGTCATCGTGTAGATCATGTCACAAGATGGCAAATAGTTGGAACACTCGAAGCGAGCCCACCGCAAGCTACCTGTTGCAGGGCCTTTGGGATTTCACAAAATGTAGTGTCCACTCTATGGAAAGAGGTTATAGAGCTGTGAACAATAGTCTGACAACCTGGTTAAGACCACACTAGGGCAACAATGCCGGTTCAAGACTGTTATTTGAGTCTAGTCAATAGAGATAGGTCTGCAACAGTGACACCACCCGTATAATTCAACATGAACATCCATTCCATGGATATCAGTGACTCCAAGAGTGAATGCAGATGGTCTGTATGCCAGGCACTTGTAGTCGGCATCCTTTTAAATGTAAAACACACAAAAGACCATCTAGCATGGTGTCGAGAACACTTATCTTGGACAAAGGATGATTGGGGCGGGTTTTCTTCACTAACCAGTCTCGATTCAGTCTGTCCAGCGACTCAAGATGTATTCTCATTTGGAGAGAACCGGGCATCCCTTTAAATGTAAAACACACAAAAGACTATCTAGCATGGTGTTGATAACACTAATCTTGGACAAAGGATGATTGGGGCGGGTTTTTTTCACTAACCAGTCTCGATTCAGTCTGTGCAGCGACTCAAGATGTATTCTCATTCGGAGAGAACCGGGAAGTCGATATCGGCCCTCTAACATTGTTGAAAATGACTATTATGGTGGAGGTGGCATACTGATCTCCATGTGTTCAATAGAGGTATGCTAACTGGTCAGTGGTACAGGAAGGAGAGCCCTATGTGAGACATGTGTACTAAATTCCTTATTTATGGGTTATAAGGCCCATCCACACAGGGCTCAGTAGGGGGACAAACACTTTCAATGGTAAGGATATGCTATCCCCATTGCTCATTACTTTTTTAATGTTTAAATTGTTTCATTATTTTTTGAATGAAAGAAATATCCGATCAAACTCTAATATGCCACCTTAACTTTGAATGTGTTATGGTAAATTCTTTGCTAACATTTTTAAAAATAAGCCTTTTAACAAATTTATTTTATCAAAATTGTTTGTGAAGTAATAAATGTGTACCTATCAAACTTTTAATTTAAAATGCCCGCATTAGACATATGTCCAAATGTAAGATTTTGAAATATAATTCATTTTTATTTTATTATTGAGTTCTAATGTGGGGCTACTGTAATCATCTCCTTATCTTCAGAGACCCTAAAGGACCTTTAGAGACCTATCTGCCTAAAAAAGATAGAATAAGTTAGTGTTTTTAATTTTGGAAGGATATTGCAAAAAATTATTATTTCCAATAATAAACTGTTATTGATTATTTCATTGAACTGTACAAAAGCGGTAAACTTCATCAGAATTCATGAGATTGTGCCACCACCAAAAAAACTTCAATGCTTGACCAACAGGCACTTCAAGGCAGACCGAATTTAAAATGTTTAGTGGGATTAGAAATTAGTACTGTGGACAAAAAACTGAAGAATACTTACAGGGGGAACATAGATAAGCCTTCTGTAGAAGGGCAGGACCTACCCCACTCTGTTGAACCAATGACGAAGAATACTTTATGAGAATTATCGAATTTAATAATTAATTGTTTAAAATTTTAGAATGGGGTATTGTCTTAGGACAAAATTCATAAGTAAGAGCAATAATAATTATTATTATGTAAAAGATAAAATCGATATTGAGGGGCCCAAATTTTTAATCTCTCAGGTATCAAAGCTATTGGGACCATATTCTTTTCAACTTTAACCATATTATTGCTACTATAGTATAGCAACTTTCCTTCTATATCCTGAGGTGCTGAGTGGATTAAAAAGGAAGTAATTTTCCCATTTATGTAACTTAATATATAGAAAGTCATAATCTGATTATTCAAAGTGGAAACAATTAGGGTAAAAATAAAAAAAAAGTGGTATAATTCATATGAGTATAACTAAATTGAGAGACATTTTTTTCCACTTTAATTTTCACAGATCTTGAGTGCATTCTTTTTAACTATGCTGACTAACTTTTATTTAGAAATAGTGGTAAATAAGTCAAAACATTACTGTCCTGCTAATGAATAAAATTAAAACTTCTTTCTTTTTACCCTGATTGTTGCCACCATGTTGTTTGTTAAAAAGTTATTCAAGATGTTTCACAATTAACACACTGTAAAACAAGGCAAACATTTCTAAGTCTTGCACAATGTTTTTATTTTGCAGGAAGATACACCAGCCTATGTGATGTGTGGAGTTACGGCGTCCTTACGTGGGAAGTCTTCTCATTAGGTAACACACCCTATGCTGGATGGTCAAATAGTAAGGCCAGAGAAATGATTGATTCAGGTGAAAATAATATTTTTTTTCTTCCCTTCCTCAATACTCTCTACTAAATCTAAAAATTATTTACCTTGACTATTATTAAATTAAATAATAAAAAAAATATTTACTAAAATTTATTTTTTGCATGGAATCTTCTTTGGAGCAACAAATTTTATAATTGTGTGCAAAAATTTTTCAATTTGCTTAAAAAGTTCTCAAATATGGCGAAAAACGGAAAAAGTAAGACCAAGCTTAGAGGGACCAAACTTTGGATCGCTCTCCTGACCAAACTATTGGGACCCTATTTCCCAGATTGTGGCTGCTCCCAATATTGTAGGGGTCAGAAATTCGAATCCGTTGAAAAAAAAGGTATGTTTATTCAGAGAAAGTACATTCTTGTGTCTGATTTTGTAACTTGAAATATTGTCTGCATTAATTTATTAGCATATTCGAGATCACACCCCCCCAAACATTAAGATGGAGTCCTAGAACCTGAAGATTCAATCATTAGATCAAAATTCATTCAGGGTGGTCCGTTTTTAGTTTGACGCACTGAACTAACTATACCTGAACTAACTATATTAAATAACTTACCCTGAACTAATTATATTAAATTTCTATTTTTAGGCTACAGACTGGAGTCACCCCCCAACACTCCTGAATACATATACGAGCTGATGATTAGGACGTGGGATTACAACCCGGATAGAAGACCCCATTTTGCTGAAATTAGAGAAACACTAGAAAGTATTACTTCTAGTTTTATTTAACATCGTTTTTATTAGTTGAGTAAATTATAGATCAAAAAAGAAATTGGTCAGTGAATTGGATAAAAATGTCTTCAACAGTTGTTGGGGGGGGGGACATTTCATATGCTAAAAGAAAAAGCAATGTTCATTATTTTAATACATTTTTTTATTACAATTTTTGGAATTTTACAATAGTTGTATTCTGTATTGAATATAGTTGTTATATTAATCTCAGATATATTGTAGCAAACAAATTGTGGTGATGTTGTTGATTTTTTCAGAAGGAAATCATTATTAAGTTTGGTTCAATTCAGTGTGAGTTTTAAAAAAAATTGCTGCTTACATATTTTTTCAAAATTATTTATTTAAAAATTTTATTTAAGTGAAATTTTTTTAAAATTTCTGATAATGTATACTGAATACGTATACCGAATTCCAATAAAATGAAGAAAAATTTCAAGAATTGGAATCAGCAAAAATCACTTGTTATCAATGTTAGAATAATGAAAAGAAAAAAAGCTTTTTTTTACCTACCTTTTTAAAAAATAAAAAATTTTTTCATTAAGGTAACACAAGGTTGTCACTTTGGCAGAAACTTATTTCGTCTAGGATAATAGAAGAAACTGGATAAAATGGAAGAAACTAAAAATAAGTGATAGAATCATTTAACAATGTGAAGAGCAATATCAGAATGACTTAAATTTAAACAAATTAAAGTTAATATGTTATCAGAAAGTTAAAAACTTTTTCTCATTAACTCTTTTTTTTTTACAAAATAATAAACTTCTTTTAATTATTTATTGCAGATTTTAATAATCTGGACAGTAGAAAGTCCCATATCCATATGTTTGTTTTCCAGGAAGTTCTATTTTCGGAACATATTTTAACAATGAAGACAAATCTCTTTTCCCTCTTTTTTTTGTTTTATTTTAAAGATTAATTTTTTTTCCTTTCCTTTTTAACCTATTAAAAGTATTTGTAAACAAATTTTTTGTTTTGTTTCTTCTTCCTGCTTTTCAGATAGCTTAACATTTATTCTGCTTCAATAAGCATAAAATGTTGAAAAGACAAGAGCAGTTGGTGATGAGAATGAACTTTGAATATTAATGAAGCTGAATATTAATAGTGCTTGAAATCAATATCAGCAAACAAGCTTTATATCCCTTTAAATACTTACAGAATAGAAAAATAAGAACAAAAAAAAAATATCCTTAATCATGAAAGAAAAAGTTGCTCACTGTTATTTATATATTATATTATCAAATTAATAAGTGTTTAGTTAATTACACGTCATTCAACCTGTAACAAAATGTTGTCATATGAAATTGATGTTAATAAGTTTTTTATTTTATTTTATTGAATGAGGTATATTTTGAAGTTTCTTCATCTAATCTGGAAAAATGTATTTTCTGGACCTTTCATGAAATTACCAATTCTGGCAATTTCATGAAACTTTATACTTTGGACAATTCTGGATATGGTATTTTCTACTGTTTATCATATTCTTTAAAAGTCGGTTTGATATTAATACTGAACAATATTTGATTATGAAAATGAGTGTGCTATTTGTAATTGTAAATTTGATTTGTGATTTGTTAATTTCGTGTATAAAAATGTGATTTTGATATTTTAACAGTTCTTCTATATTTAGTTTTACTTCTTAGTTTTACACATATTTAAAATATATGTACTAAATAACTTGGAAATTAATAATATTTAAACTAGATTGCAAATATAAATTGTTTAAGAAAAAATTTCAATAATTGATACTCATTTTTGAAAAAGATTTTCTTTCATATGGGTTGGAGGAAACCTATTTCTTCTGGGGAGGTTTTTTCCACTGTGAACAAAACTTGCCATTCCTGAAAGAAACAGAAGAAAATATTAATGATATTTTATCACTGACACTCTTTTTTAAATGAACAGATGCTGTGTTTCCAGCAATTTTCTCAAAATATCCATATAAAGCAATGTTTTTAAAAAGATTCTCTCGAATATGAGGAACAAAAAGAATGAATGGCAAAGTGACTGAAAAAAACATGAATTTCAGCTCAGTTTTCAGTGTGATTTCTGTAGTCATTACCGACTTTCCAAATATGATTGTGAACACATTTTCTACTTTTTTCATAATATCTAACTTTATGTATATTTATTTATTTTTAAAATTTTTTTATTGCATTTGCGTAAAAAAAAAATTCCAGTTATCAAAGTAAATTAAAACAGGTTTTTTTTAGTATTGATTTTATAAGAATTTCAGGTAAATTTTTTTATATCTTTAAATTAACTCATAAAACTGAGCTTTAAATGAGTGAGGTTTGACTGCATTTTGTTGAAGTTTGTTCTACCAATTTTAATTGACCAGATAGTTTGAACTGTTTCTCTCTCTTTTTTTTTTTTGTTAAAACAATTTTGTTTTGTTATCCATTACATTTTGTGCACCTTATCTTTGAATGCAAGAGACTATTTGTTGGACAAAGAAAGAGTGATAATTCTTAACTTTCTTATAATTATATAATTGTGCCATATTTTCAATGGGCTGCCAATTTTATTTACATTTTGTGCCAAGTTAAGCTATATTATTTTATAGCGAAAAAAAAAAAACGTTTTGCTTCATTGAATAAGTATTTGTAGTTTGTATTTCTTTGAAACTGTTTTCATCAATTGAAGGTAAGTAACAAATGTGGTGCTATAATGTTTATTATTTTATCCAATTTTTATTCACTTTATTTATCTTCATCCTGTCAGAAAATGATGAATACAAATTCCTATTGCAAATTTAGTTTAAATTGTTTGGATAAAAACTGCATATCTGTTTTCTGTTATGTACTGTACTAAACTCGGTGGGGCAACAAACCGTAAAAGGCCAAATCTCAGTTTTCTGGTCCTTTGGTTTTCTCTTATGTAATATAGTAAAAGTGTCTGAGGGCAAAACTTGTATACACTTGCCCAGAATTTATTTATTGATACCTTAATATTAAGTTATCTAAAGAAATAAAATATTATTTCTTTAGATAACTAATACCAATCTAAAATTTTATTACAATACAAGCTGTATCTTATATATTTTTTATCAGGGTTGGCAAAATTATGATTTAAAAAAAATCAGATTTTTTTTATGTTTTTAACTATACCAATAAAATCTCTGATGAAATATATTAATCCTTAATATTATTTAAAAACAATTTTTTATAATTTAAGTCCTTCATTATTTTAATAATAAAGAACATAAAATTGTTTTTATAAAATGTGTGTCATTTAAGAACTGTATTTGATTTTATGATTAAACTACTTGAAAAAAAATTTCAAAATACAATTTTTCAAATTGAAACTGTACGCTTATAATCCTTATTTATTCTGCCAAATATTTAAATAATGCAGTTTTAGAGAGAAAAGATGTCTTGTAAACGACTTCCTGTTGGTTCTATACATTCTAACAGAAAACTATTATGAAGTATATTAAAAGGTTGTTGCATTGTGAGAGAGACTTTTCATGGTAAATTCTGTTTTGTCTCCATTTGTAAATTTAATCACCATTGTCAATTTAATGTCTTGTCTAAGGTGGGTTCAGGTACGTGTAAAGTAAAAGATTAAGTTAGCCAGTGTTTTCACTACAGCGCGAGAAAGCGAGAATCTCGCATATTTTTTTCTTTTCTCGCATTAAAAAATGATTACCGCGAGAAATTCGCGCATTCTATAAATCAATTTCGAAATTCGCGAATTTCTCGCATTTTGGAAAAAGCTTCGAATTACGCCATTTAGAATAAAATCCGTTTCACTTTTCTTCCTGGATCTTTCATTATTTTCAACATCTGCCCCATTATCTAGCTTCCCTATTTACCAGCATTGTTCAGAACCTTTTCGAACAACAGAACACAACCACGGAACCCCTTTCAGAACACATTTCTCTGCAACCACGTGTTTACCGTAGGTAAGGTTTCTTCATGTAAGAAGCTCAAATTTTTTATGCACTTATGTAAGATGGACAAATACCTTGTAAAGGCAAAATCTTCTATGATGATGCACCAAAAATATTCAATGCTTTAAAAAATAGGAGACATTAAAAATGTATTATAAGTAAAGAAATGATTTTTTTTCCAAGAGTTTTTGTGCTTTTTTAGTTTTTAGAAATCTAATTTAACTTTTTGAAATCTCACCCTGTTTTTGAGAAAGGGTGAGAAATTCTCACCCATTTTTTTTCTATGATGAAAACACTGAGTTAGCTGAAAAAATTTTTTCAAAATACTAACATATTATTACAGGATTACTTCTTCACCGCATAATCTTGAGATATCCTGCAATAATGTTTTTGAATTTTGAGAGTTTAAACAAAAATTACAGAATTTGAAATTCATGATTTAGGTTAAATGGTTAAATAGAGCCATGATTTCTCAAGAGATAGAGCGTTCGCTTTCCAATGAGGTGAACCCAGTTTAAACCCAGGCAATGGCTGGTCGGTACGAATTCCACATTTGGCTTGCACCGCCCACAGTGCTAACATGAAATATCCTCAGTGGTAGATAGATCAAGGGTTAGAGTCTTTTTGCCCCCAAGCCAGCCGTGGGGGGTTCTCGTGGTCTTCCTCTCCATATAACGCAAATGCGGGTTAGTTCCATCCAAACGTCCTTCATGGACGCAAGTTTCTCCAAAATACTTGATCCAGAAGCTCCCTTGTCTTCTGTATTGGGTTCAAAATTACAAGGCTACATGATTGAACATTAGTAGTTGTAAACTTTAGGTTAACTTGAACCATTTTTTCCTTCTATTCTTTAAATTAGGTATATAGATGAAAGAGAATTCTCCATGAAGAGTCACATTTTTATTACATATCATAAAGAATTATTATGAAATTCTATGTATTTAGTAGAAGTATTTTTTTTTACAAATTACCTCTCTATTTCAATAAAGTATTATTATTATTATTGTAACTGGCCCATACTTAGAAAATCTTTATCAGCATTTACTATTTTGGTTGCTTCAGTTGCTCAAGTGTATATCTATGTCACCTTGAATTATAATTGTCCCTGTGTTGTCTTGTAAATTCGTTTTTATTTTTTATTAATTAAAGTCTGCTGATTGTGTAAGTGATATTATTGAATTTACATTGTAGTTACAAATTTGTAATTTTGCATTTAAACTATATTATATTGCATTTCATGACAAATTTTTCAACTTTATGTTGCTTTTGTCCTGGCATGTTTTGAAAATGGTGTAAGGATGAAAGGAATTCATTTGAAAAATAGGCTTTTTGATAAAAAAATTTAGTGCTAGAACACTAACGTTTATCCAAAAATTATCATATTTGCCACCAGTTTGACTATATGGCTCATGGTAAATGACAATTAAGTCATTTATTAAAATTTTAGTCTTATTTTTTGTTCTTATTTATTTATATATTATTTTCATGGTTTTTTGCAACTATTTTCATGGTTTAGGCTACTAAAAGCAACTATTTTGTTCATTTTTTTCTGTGGGATCCCTGAATTGCTTCAATGAATTTTAAAAATCAAATTATATCCAAAATAAAAAAATTATCTACTAGACCTAAATGCAAGTTCGTAAGTAGTGTCTCAAAATAATATTTTCAATTGATTAAACAAGCATGAATGAACATGACTTACTTCAAGGCATGGAAAAATTGTTTTCTTTTACTATAATAGTACTATTCATGTATTTTTTGTATGCTAAGCTTAGTTACTTTAAACTAGATTGAAAACAGATATTAAAAAGTGCAATATTAATAATTGAAAAGTTAATATTTAAAAGTGTAAAATTATTAGTTGAAAATAAAAACCCTTTACCTCATCTGATTTTGAAATTGTATATTGGGAGAAACTTTATCTTTTCTGATACATAATTCTTTCTTTATGTTAACATGCATTTATTTTGTTATTTGAAGTTAAATTATTCAATACTTAAAAAATATTAGTAGCCTTTAAATTGTATAGATTATTTAAAACTGCTGCTGCAAAACAAAATCGTTTTAAAAGTTTTAATTTTTAATTAGTGTTTATACAATGAGCATGAACAATTTTTTTTACCTGAGATCTTGGATATCAGGAAATGTCAACTGCAACGTCCTTTACATACTATCTGTTTCATTTTATCTCCAAATGCTACATATTTTTACTCTCCACTTTGTGAATATTCAATAAATTCAAATAGTGATAATAATAGACATATTGTAAATTAAAGTTAGATTTAAGTTTATTAATACTGGAATTATTAATGTTAAACATGTTAGTATCAATAACTCATAACACTTTGACTGCTGCGTCACCCATATTCGGGTGACAGCAATGTTTCTGATCGGGCCTGACTACTATTTGACTACTTGCGAAGGATATTCGTATGTATTTGAAAAGATATTTCACAGGAAGTAACAAAACTATTGAATTGTTATAAAAGTAATACAAAAATGGTTAAGAAAACTATTGTGAGCCTCGTAAAATCTTTCTCTTCTATTTGACTCACTAAGAAATAAGTTTTTTCTTTTTGAAATTTCAACGAATTAGGGTGAAGATTTTAAATCCTCTTTACTTGGCAAAGATTCAAACCGATTGTGTTAAGTGACGAGAAGAGAAACAAATAAACAGACATGGAAACAAATGGAGCGAGATAGTATTCTTGTAACCACCTGAGATTAGGATTATTAAAATTGTGTGGGAGTGCATACCTTTCGTATAGCTATACTCGTGGCCTGAAGGAGATTTCACTGTAAACGCATATGGCAGTCACTGTGTTAATTATTGTACTAACTTTAAGTTTAAAGGAATGTGTTTCTATATTATTTGGCAAACAGTTTGATTATGGAGTGAAACCTGTCAAGTTGAGTACTTATTTAAATTGATCTCTATTCTTAAGAACTATTTCCCCTATAATGAAAGGGTGCAAAACTTGGCCATCCGCATCTTGTACGTTAACAGCTGAAATAAATTTAATTTGTCTAGGAGTTTTATAAAATGTTATTTTAAAACCTTCAGAAGTTAACTTGAAAGAAAAATTTCCCCAGTATTCTCTTTGCTTTAAATATAACTTTTAATGAAATTTTCATTATTTTTTTTGTTTTATGATAAGATTTCAATAAATTAGTAAAACAGTACTAAAATATAAACCCCACCCCTTGTGAGTTAACCACATTGGATAAATATTTAAGGCTTTTGTAATAAAATAAATTTAGTTATTTTGTTATATGTGTAAAGAAATAAATTTTAAATATTTTTTTTACTAACTGTATATATTGTCTTGCACACTGACCTGCATCCCTAACAGAATATGTATGGTTTTTTAAAAAAATTAATTAGTTTAATGTTATGTAACAAATTGTAATTCATTTAAGAAATTAATCTCATTTAAAAGACATATGGAATAATTACTAAATAAAATTTTAAAGTCTTGTTAAAATGATATATTTATCTTTATTTTGATAGGTAAATTAAATTAATAGCTTCATAAGAATAACATGATATAAGAAATAATAAAAAAACAATCTCTCTAAAAGTTGACTTTTTGTTTAATTTTACCTCTAAAGCAATGCACGGCAACTGGTCTAACTATTCAGGTTTCACTGTATAAGCTGAGTCCATATGAGCCAAATATTAATTATAATGCTTCATCAGATTTCGATAGTATATTTATTGATGATCTTTCTAATGCACAAATCCTAAACTACTATTATTGACAAAGTCTCAAAAAATAGTATAAGGGACTAATTACTGATTTATGTATTATACTAACCCTGCATTTCTGAAAATGACATAAATTTTTCTTATTATAATAATGGCAGCTGTGTAATAAGATGAAATTTGCATGAGCATTTTGAATTATCGTGTCTGTGGTGTTGTCATTT